ACATGTGATACGTCAGCCGGCAAGCTCGACTTCCGGGCATCGCATCGGGAAGAAGCCGGCTTGGGTCAGTTCTTCCGGCCGGCAAATCAAAAGAGGCCAGGGGAAAAGTGTCGGAAGTGTCGCCGGAGGTCGACGCTGGCTGGGTGGCGCACCTTTTGAAGGTTCTTTGAAATGTAGAACGCTCTTTTGTTGACGGTTGATTGTTGTCAAAATGGTTGTGAGGTATATTACTATTTGAAGTATATTAACGAGAGAGAGCGAAAGAGAGAGAGAGAAGAAAGAAAAAGAGAGAGAGAGAGAGAGAGAGAGAGAGTGAGAGTGAAAGAGTGAGTGAAAGAGAGAGATATACGAGAGGCGGATGTGATACGGGCTCGGCGAGGGATGTTGCGCGATTTCGAATAACGTACGATTCGATATGGACCTATTTTCTTGGCGAAAGGGGTCTGGATTCGCGGACGGGATTCACACGGAAATTTTCCTGTTCGAAGTCGCGTTTCGCTCGCGCGAGCTCGTCTTGTAGGAGGAGACGAGAGGGAAAACGTGCGCCCTCGGGATATCCTGGCGAGAGAGACAAAATTAGCGGTAAATTCGCACATGCATTTGTATTTGTAAATTCGCTTTGACGTTGTTGATCGTTTCGTGGCTCGTAATTGATACGGTTGCGACGAAAATCGAGTCGATTTAATTTCGCAACCCTCCAAATGTCGAGTTCTCCAATTTTCCTCGATTGTAAAATGTCATCGCTCGCGTGGGATGAAGCGAGAATATTAGACGATACGAATACAACATTCGTATTTTTTTCATTTAATTATATATGTATTTAAAAATTATATTATTTTTTCTTAATCATCTACATGTTGTATTTTAATCTGTAGAGTCTTTACATTATGTGTTTTAATAATAATACAAATTTAATATTTCATATATAAAATATATGTATATATATATATATATATGTTGCAACTTGCTTGTATGTTAATGTTGATTTGAATCTTATTTACAAAAAAGTGTTTGTTAATCGATATACAGATGGGAAGAAAGAAATTAGAAACGATGAAAGTCAATTTAAAAAAAACACACGCAATTTGCACATAAATTGCCATTGTTAATTATATATATACACATATACAAATATATCGTAATTGTACACATACATACGATGATACGAAGAATTGAAAACGCTACGAAGGAGGCTTCGAATGACTTTGCGGGCGCACGTTTTCTCCTCGCGGAAAGACGAACGTGATCACACAGTCGTCTCCGAAAGAGAAGCGCGTACAACTGGCATTATATAACATTACTCGCGGAGTCTGATCCGAAACATGTTAGCGCCGACGACGAATCGATGGCGCCTTCCCGCGTTTCCTCGGAGACACTTCGACGAAGACACGCAAACGCGCGTTCCGACCGGAACTCTCGGCGGAAGAAAATATGAGACTGATATAAAGCAGTATTCGAGTGCGAGACAAAAATTTGTAAATTACGGCGTAGCCTTAAATAAGAAAGATTTTAATTAGGTTTATTCGGCGACCGGTGTGGCGAAATTGGTCCCGCGAAAAAAAAAAAGAATCATCTCAATTGGGCTGTAAGGGAAGAAAAAAAAAGGAATATGTAGGGAAGAAAAATAAAAGACACGCGTACCTCTCGTCAAGGCTCGACGCCCTCGAGATGTCCGCCCTCGCACAACGACGTATCTCTCTTATGTATAGTGAGAATAATGTTATTAGGTAAACTTAGGCGTACTTTAAAAGAGCGAACGGAGGATGAGAGAACGGAATGCAATGCCAGTTGTAAAACGGATGGAAGAGAAACGCGAGAAGAACGTGTGTCTTGACGACGATACTCGTTCTCAGTGATAGATATGCGATATGGAAAATAGGAGAAGTGGGAGGAAAGACACGGGGAAAAAGAGGTAGCGCTGAGATCGAGGAAGGGTGGAAAGGGGTTGAAGCGAAATAACGGGCACGAGGTGTATGGGAAAAGCGACGTGTATATGTATATAATATCGCGATAATATATATTATCGGCCGTCGGGGATCCGAACTTTTTTCGGTTTTTTTTCCTTCTTTTTTTTTCCATTTTTTTTTTCCCTCATTCTTTGTCATTTTTTGCGGTACACCGTTTTTTCGGGCGACACCCTGTCGCCGCGCGAGATACGATTCGCGAGTGCACGCGCCTCGCGCACACGCAAATGCTGTTCATGTGTATACGCAATAGATTATTTCGGAATACACACGGATGTATCACGGGGATAGGGGGGAGGGATGGGGGGGGGCGGGAAACAAAGAGAGAAAATAGAGAAACGACAGCTTTACCGATAGTGAAACAGTAGTTATTTGCAACACGTGCACACACACGTAACACACACGCATATTACACATGTAAAGTGATCCAAGCGATACACACAAAAAAAATTGTATGAATATAACGTTTGCAGTTAGGTGGGACCAAAAACGACTTTATATCTCTATGTGCATATCCAAGCAACATGTAATTTAATTAATGAATTAATTAATTATCCATTATTAATGACTAGGTAAAGTAAAAGATCCATCGATAGCAATCGAGAACGATGACGAATGATTAACGAATAATTAGTCTATTAAGTTTGTTTATTGATACATTATTCTATGATATAATTATTATTATTATTATTAACTTTATTGCCTTTATTATTATTATTATTATTATTATTATTATTATTTTATTATTGCATTGATTAAAGTGGCGATGATAATATTATTATTTAAACAATGTTTTAAGACGATCATCTTTAGATATTGAGTAGAAAACAAGTACGTATCTATAATTATTAATTATTTTTAATTATTATTATATATATTCTTATTATTATTATATTATTATTATTATGAGACATTTTGTTGTATTATTTTCAATAAAATCAATTGAAAAATATTTAATTTATATGGATTGGTTGGTTTTCGCTTCTCCATACGTATCGAGCAATCGCATGTTTCCAATTTCTTTCAATGTTTTGACGTTCGTAATCTGATTACGCATCTTTTTAATTTATTATACGTAAAGTCAATGCCAAAGTAATTTAATAACGAAAGAAATTGAAACATCTCATTGTTCGTACGCGTGGGAGCGCGCCTTGTCCTAAAATCCGTTGTGATCTTATAAGAGGATTGTTTATGATCGCACGAGCAAGTCTTCTGAAATTAATAGAGACTAATAAAAAAACCAAATGCATCGAGATAAATTTCTTTGAAGGTATCTGATGTAAAGATATGGCATTTTTATTCTCATTACGTAATTTTAAAATATTTTGATAGTTTATTTCTAAAATCTTGAATTGATTAATTTAGAACTTATTCAATATATATATATATATATATGTATTCAAAGTAATTGAAATTTTTAATTAATTTTTTATGTACTATTTATTATTGTATAGCTATTATTTTCAAAGTGTTGTTGAAAAACGATATGCGACATATAAATTAAAAATGACTGCGAATTAATGATAACTATAATAGAAGAACTAAAGAGATAACTGATGTTTATTAATAAATGGAATATAAAAGTCTTATTTAATATATATAAGAAATTTATATATATGTATACACGCTGTGAATACTAAGCACAAATTGTACTCAAGAATACTATTTTTTATTATTAATAATTACAAGATTATTTGAATTATAAGAGCACTTTCAATGCTAAAGATTTTTTTAGATATTTGAAACATTTCTGACTTTTCTAAAATATGAATTGTTGTTCCAAAAAAAAATGTGTTGTTTCGTAATATTTCCATAATTTTGTCCTCTCGGAAGACTTGACGCGCAGTGAACGACATCGTAAATTTGCGATCGCAACTGCCATCATCTCCCACCTGTATACTATTTTCTCGTTTATCTTATTTCATTGAAATTCAGTATTTGATTGTGATTTAGTTTAGTCGCGTCTGTATACGATTATCTCTCCGCTACCCTCCAATCCTTCGAATCCTTCCTCTTCGTACCTCTCTGACCCTCTTACTCTCATACGTCTCTGGATAATTTTCGTGACTCAGGGGGTGGGAAAGGGTGAGAGGGAGAAGATGGAACCAAGGCTATCGTAAGAGTGAAAGAAACGGGGAATGCGAGATAAATCGAGAGGGAGGGGGGAGAATGAGATATAACAAAGCCAGAGAGAAAGAGAGCGTGTTATATATTATGGGATAAAAAAAAAAAAAAAAAAAAAAATAGGGAAAAAACCAAATAGCGGAAGAAGAAGAAGAAGAAGAAGAAGAAGGTATGGAACAATAGGAACAAATGAGGAAAATAGTTGTAAAAGAGCCACACACACATAAACGCGTACACACGACACAAAAGGAAACACAAATGTACTAAGTAAGTTCATACTGCGTATTGCCTTTCTGACTTCGGTGTGAAAATATATAAATAAAAAAAAGTCAGTCGCGCCGGGGCACGCGTATGTTTTCGCGCGTATATATTATATATTATATATTATAGTTATTAGAGCATTTTTTGACAAGAAAAAAAAAAGAGAGAGAGAGAGAGAGAGAGAAAGAAAGAGACGAGGATTAACTGCTTCCGCTTCTTCCGGAGCTCTTTTACACTTGCTTTTTAGAATTCGAGAATCCTCCAACACGTACAAATGAAAGAAGATATAACGCGATTTTCGAGCTTAGCGAGGTCGCTCTTTGTCTAGTCTAATTCCCCGAATTGAAGACCCTGCATTTCCGTTTGATTGATCCCGGATCGGACGATCGCGGAAGCAGCGGACGGCAGTTTTCCGTCTTGAAAAACTTTTTTCACGATTTTTCCGTATGAGAGAAAAAGTCACAAGCCGCGCGCGCGCGAAGTCCGCGCGTCCCCGCCGACTGTGTCTGTTTCATGTTTTTCAATATTTGTAATTTATCGATAAAATTATAAAAGGTATCGATACATAACAGTCTAAAGTGTGCGCTACTCTACATAATATTATTATATATAAAGTATAAAAGTATACATTATATATATATTATATATATATACATATATATTATATATGAAAAAGTATAATATATATATATTATACATACATTGGGATTGGTGAGAATATACGGTTTTTTCGCTTTGGAGTGTTATTTTCTGAAAATATTGAACAAAATATGGAAAAAAAAATTAATAAAACCAATGAGTAAAAACAAAACAAAGACCGTCTACGTGTTGATTTTTTTTTTCATTCTCACCCGATGTACGACACGCCGTCAACGACGAACGATTCTTCCTGTTGGATGTTGGATTTTGCAATTGCATTCACATCGCTGGAATGCACAGGTGTGAGTATTGGGACGCGAATAACTTTATATGACGCGTAACCTGGTTTTTTTTTCAATACACGAAATTATCTAACACATCGAGCTCTGAAAGGGATTCAACATTCGAAAGAGTGCGTAATAAAAATGAAAAACAAGGTTATTTTAACATAGAAATCATATATATTTAACACACTTTATTTTTAACATTTTCTATTGATTCCCAAAATATTCAATTTTAAAGATAGAAATTTAAATGTAGCATATTGTTAGCTTTATAAATCGATATATGAACATACATTTTTAAATTGCTCATTTTGAGATATTATCTCACAAATGTGTGTTTATTTTATGGTAGATGTATACGTTTATTGATTTTGTCATTAATGCAAACGTTACTACATCGTAACAGTAATAATTCTGGAACTTTGCATTTCTATTCGACGTTTATTAAAAGTACAGATGTCTGAAAGAAATATTTATATGCCGACTCTTCCAAGTACTTTTAACAGTCTCGTCGGGAAAAAGGTGAAGATTGAGACGGATGAACCGCAATATCTCATTGAGTCGGTGAAATCTTAAATAAATATGTGAAATATTTTACATTTCGGAAGAATTGAGATCGCAAATAAATATTTAATCACTAAACACATACAGATTGCTAGGTAGTCTTCTGGGAGTGACAGACTACAAAACCAACAAAGCCGCTTTCTGGTTTTTGGACACTATAGCACTTCAAGTTTTACGCTATAAAAATTGTTTAGATGATCATCATAGAAGTGTCTTAATTAGTTGGTTGGCTGGTGAAATGAAATTAATTCGAGGTAGTAAATAATTTAAACAACTATTGATTATTTTTGAATTGATATATTTTAAGTAATGTTAAATATTATTATATCTATATGTAATAGAAAAAATAGATTTGTTAATAAAAATTTGATACGTGTTCCTTAAAATTATATAAACATGCAAAAAAATGTATTTTTGGAGAATCTATTTTTGTAGATAAAAAGTTCTCACGCGAAGATTTTTTCAAAAAAATGAGAATATTTTTTGTATATGTTGCTGAGAATATATCTAGTGGCAATGAATTGTTGCATTGGGAATTAATTGTGGATAAATGTCCCAAAATATCAACAAATTTCATTGATGAGTCTCTCAGGAGTGGAATGGAATATTTAATCACGAATAAATTATTTAATAAGAAATTAGTGTCGGAAAATAATACGGTTCAAGAAATCGAATCTTCATTAATCGAGAAAAATTCAAGAGATTCTGAAAATAGGTAAAAACATAATTTTTTAACACAGTGTGTGTACTATATTTTAAGTTAATTTAAATTGTAAGATACTCGTTTTTTTCAGTAACAAACATTTGCAACAGTCGTCAAAAAACTTTCAAACTTCATTAAACATCAAGAATTCGCAAATAGATACATTTATAGATGCAAATGTGGTCATTGAATCTTCTAATTTAACACATTTAAACATTGCATTGAATACAATTATTGAAGCGACGTACAACATGTAAATATATAAACAAATACAATGTATTACTTTATATGTATATTTCTGTTTCAATAAGATACAATGCAAGAGGATTTGATCTTTGATTTATATTTTTGAACAGGTATGCTAATGAATTACGGTATGCTCTTATATATGCAGTTTTCGTAACACCAATACAAATCTATCACATGCCGCGATCTCTTCAAACACTACGCCATAAGATTTCGGATTCTGAAGAGTCGTTTAACATACAGCTTCGTGAGCGTTTGGAAAAATTTTCTATGAATTGACAATTGATAACGGTAAAAAACATAAAGGTAAATGATGTAATACAATAATTATGGTATATATATATTTAATTTTTTTCGCGTGATTTATTGCAAAAATACATCTAATATTTATTCGTATTCGTAATTAAATTGTTTTATTCATATAAGCTTATCATAACATTAATATTAATTTTTCTTTTTTCCTAATATCCTTATTATTTTTTATTTTATTATAGTTATACACAACTGCATAACTGTTAACAAATTTTTTATTTTTAGAAAAGAAGACAACAAACAATGATAAGGAGCGAGAAGTTAAGAAGGATTTAAGTATAGAAATTCCTCCAACACCACCAACTTTCTTGACTGACGAAGAAATATTAATCAACAATTGTCAATTTACTTAATAGAAACGGTTGAAGGAAGCGATATAAATGGACAATATGCATGCAAAGAATATGGAACAAGAATAAATGCAAATACGATTGAAAAAATATAATTTGGAGAGATTTTATCTCGTATCGTTGAATATATTATAATAATATACATATAAAATGCAATGTCATTCTGTTCTGTCTGTAATTATCGCTGTGCCCCATTCGTGACATTTAAACTTTTTCACTGCTTTAAACTCTAATGGTTGGATATTTAATTTAATAAAATTATATGTATTTTCAAAGTCCTGCTGAACTTTCCCTAATTGGCCATACTTGTTAGTGCCGCAGCCCCAAAAAGAACCGTCCTCTGAAAGAAGAAATAAAAACAAATCATTTTTTTCCTTGGAAATATAATTCTTACTGTCAAGATAAAATAATATTAACAAATGTACATTATACCTGTTAAGCATATAGTAAAAGAAGTTCCGCATTCAACTTTTTTAACATTAATTTCTATAGGTTCCCCTCTGTCATTTTTAAAATCCACTAAAGTTGGAATAGCGTGAACCTTTTTGTCTTTGCTTTCAATTCCTAGTTCTCCATTTGAATTCCATCCCCAAGTATATAAATCACCCTATTGCATTAAATTTTAGTTTTACTCACGAGTTATTTAATGATATATAAAAGTTATAAATTCTTATGCGCTCACTTGATCGGTGACTGCAGCGGTATGCCAACCACCGGCTGATATTTGTACTATCCTTAGACCTGCTAAAGCCTCGATAAGTTTCGGCTCATCACAGTTTTCTAATTCATTATGCCCCAATTGACCACGTCTATTACATAATAAAAAGTAATTAATTTAATTCAATTTAATTAATATAATTATATTAAATTTATCATTATGAATAAAAAAATCGAACAATGTGTTTTAAAACATTCATAAAAATAAACATTATTTCGATTAAATTTTATTTACGATAAAAAATTTTCACATATATATGCTTTGATTAAAGATAACGTTTTTACAAATGTTAAAATTTACGTGAAAATCTTTTTGCCACAAATAAAATTTAATCAAAATAATGTTTTAAATATGTAATTTTCAATTTCATGTATTTTTCGTACACAATTTTTATTTTTTATGCGAAAATGTTACCTAAAATTATATAAAACATGGGAAGTGAACTTTTTTGGAATCTATTAAATGTTTTTTTATAATAATTTGCTTGCATAAAATATGTAACTGTAGCTTTACGTACATTCCCATGCCCATTGAGTAAATATCACCATTCTCTGCTAATAAAATGGTATGATCGTAACCGCAGGCAAGATCAACGAATTTGACTCTTTTCGGCATTTTAACCAAAAGTGGAGCATTAAATACACGACCTCAACAAATAAAAAAAATTAAAAGGTTTTCATTAAAATATATATTTAATGGCATAATACTAAAATGGAATAATACTTGATTTATACCTAAATTAGTTAAAACTACTGTACATCCTGCTTGTGATAATTTGATGGGATATTCTGCCAATGTATCATTACTGGAAATAAAAGGTGCTATTTTTTGCCAGGAGTCATCATATACCTTATATTTCCAAATGTCATTATGCGTTGATAAAATAACTACACTTTCTCGACCAGGAACAGCCATTTTACAACTAAAAAATAAAGAAGAATAAAATATATTAGGAAAAAATATCAAAAAATAATATTTTATGTCTATTACCTTCCTGACGATTTCTCTGGAATTTGAATTAACCGAGGATTATTTTTCATATCATTATCACTGATTTTTCCAGTGATATATAATTTCGTATCCTGCCAGAGAAGAAAATAATTCCAACTAATTTCAATATCTGTGACGCCAGCAAATGGAATCTGAGTCAAATGTGTTAATGATGTAATAATTCCATCTTGATTGGAAAAGAGTGGACTCGCATTTAAACCGGTATAATACACTGGCATATTTCTGTGAATAGTACTAAACAAATAATAAGTAGGCAATTATTATATTATTTTTATGTTATTTTTATATTATAATTTAATTATAATGTTATTACATTTATTTTCTGAATTTGTAACATATAATAATATAATTTAAACATTCATATTACTATTTTTAGTTTATTATATAAAAATTAAGTTTTACTATTTAATCACAAATTAAAATAATTAATGAAATTATAAATTATTCAATTATTAAGAAAGAAATAACATTAATAAACAAATTTTTTAAATCAAAAGAAATATATACATATGAGACATATATGTATATTTATTTAAATATGTATTTATATATTTAGTTTTTATATTTATTATTTGTATATTAGATATTATATGATAACAAACCAGGTGTAGTTTACCTATTGTTATTTTACAAAAGTGCAATAACGTTATTATTCGCACATGGTAACGAAATAACGTTTCGCTTACCTATAGCAGATGCACATTAGCATGTAATGTCAGAGCAATGTCAAAGTATCTAGATGTCACTATTTTCCTTGGATACCAGAAAAATAACATAACATTTTGTAGTCGCAGCAGTCGACATATTGCAGCAAATCGTTAACACGTCTTCGTTCGAGTACCTGAAATAACAACAATAAAATGGTAAACATGTTATGCGAATTAAATGCAAATGCACAGTATTATGCACCCTTTTTTTCCACTGCCTCTTATACTTTTAAACACACCAAATAATCAAAATAATTTACAATCCATGAAGATTTTACACCAATTCACAATATATCCTCACATGCATTTATATCAAGCGTTCTATAGAAACACTTTCTTACAAATTGTAAAATTGTTCATTAAAAAATGATTCTTGTCATCTTCTCTTATAAGAATTCACTTATATTTTCTGTGTATTAAACATATATATATATATTTCTATGCACTTTCTACGCACCACATGAGATGATACGGATTACACCTTTGTCGCCATATTTTTTAATGCATCCCTTTACAAGGGTATTATTTTTGGGGAATTTCTTATGATTGTAGCACTGATCGCGCGCGAAATATAAAATATTGACACATGCGAATATTTTAAATTTCCTTTCTTATAATTACAAATTTTTACTAAAATTCATGTTAATTAGACAATTTTTGACAAAAAATACAATTTTATTTTTTTGTAAAAAATAAACTCATGCACATTATATATAATACAAATTAATTTTATTTATTTATTTAAAGAAGATATGCACAAAACTTGTGTATTTTTATGATATAAAATTTTACAATAACGAATAACATATATAGTTATTAGATAAAAAAATTTAATTTTATTTAATTATTAATAATGAGAAATATATATTTATTAGTAACTATATTGCAAATTAACGCGTTGTAATTTAAAACGTTCTATGCAATACATATATTGTAATTAGTTGCACAAATAATTGATATTCGATATCAGGGTCTGCTTGCTATTTTACGGAAATTACGATCAAATCCTGATAAAGAATTACGATTATTACTGTTGGGCCTCGACAATGCCGGAAAGACGACTATCTTGAAATCTTTGGCTAGCGAGGATATCACGCAGGTAATTTTCTTCTCATAAGATTTAAAAATTTACAATAAATCGATTGAAATACCTTCAAAATATAATTAATTAATTTTCTCAAGGTTACTCCAACGCAAGGCTTTAATATAAAAAGTGTCCAAAGTGAAAATTTTAAATTAAACGTTTGGGATATTGGTGGAGCTCGAAAAATTCGACCTTATTGGCGAAATTATTTCGAGAATACGGATGTACTTGTAAGTTTCTTCGTATTTTTTTTATTTCTCCACATTTTCAAGTTTTAATTATAAATAAAGTTTATTTTACTATTTCTTAGTGACAAAATTTTTATATAACATTTTACGAGAGTAGTATACAAACGTAAAGTATACATTTTTATTTTACTACAAAATTGATAAAAACAAAAAAAAATAATTTGTTTTTCTAAGCTGTATAATCTTCTGTCTCTTTAATTATTTTAGGAATTGTATACGTATTAAACAATATATATATTATTTTGCAATATATGCATACAAATAATAGTAATTTATATTTGATATAATGTATCATCGTAAATATAATATAGAAAGATGTATGTATAAAAATATAGCGCAATAGTAAAACGCTATGAATTAATGAGCAACTAAAAAAATAATTTTGAAAATTATTCATGATGGCAAAGTTCGATTATCGGAAACATGCATCTGTATAAATTACATTGTCACAAGTACGAGAGATACTTCTTGTACATTTCTTTTTAAATTAATTATTTATATTATGTTATTTTACGAATTATATTAAATTAAATAATATATATTATGAATTACATAGGTAATATATTTAGTGTCTATACCGCTATTTTTTTCTCTATAGGAGGAAAAAGAACTTTGCCTTTTTCTTTAAAAATTAGATCTTAAGAATTGTCCACAAAGAGAGACGTATCTTATTTTTTCGAACATCAATAAATCAAAGTTTTGTAATGTTTATTGGCAATAGATTTACGTGGTTGATAGCGCGGATATCAAGAGGCTAGAAGAAACAGGACAGGAATTATCGGAACTTCTACTGGAAGAGAAGCTACGAGGAGTACCATTGTTGGTATATGCTAATAAGCAAGATCTAGGAAACGCCGTGACGGCGGCCGAAATAGCGGAGGGACTCGGTTTACATAATATCAAGGATCGAGATTGGCAGATACAATCGTGCATCGCCATCGAGGGCAAGGGCGTGAAAGTACGTGAAAGATATCCACTCTCTCGCCTTTAAATTTTATTAGGATATTTTACTTGTTACTTTCTAAAATCGCATAAATAAAATTGTTTTTCTATAAATCTGTAAAAATAAATTTTCTGGTTATTTCTCAGGAAGGCTTAGAATGGGCGTGCAAGAACATCAAGAGGAAGTAAACACGATTGCCACGTACATTTTACATTAGGATACACGGGAGAAAAGCAGACTTACACCGTCTCCATTCTACATTTTACACACATGATCTTTATTTATCTTTTATCTACTATTTACAAAACGTATAATTGAGAACACTGTTGTTTGTGGATTCGCGGTATAAGCGTCCGAATATCGCAGTTTGAGGTTCTTACAAACCCGTTGTCGTACCGAACGTATCCAGTTGTCGGATTTTCGTTCCACGTTGGAACGAGCTGCTAGTCATCAGTCATCAGATTCGAGAGATTCTATTTTTTTCGTATGAAAAGAAGAGTCGCCGTCCGTAACAGCGAGTGTTATATTGCAAAGGAGAATATGTGCCTTTTTGTTGTTTTAATTATATATTAGAATTTTTATAGATTTATCTAGTAAATAAAATAAAGAAATAAACAGAAAAAAGATACAATATTTTTGAGCACCACATGTTATTGCACTCGCGAAGGAGATGCGCTAAAAATAACATATATGAAGAGATCCGTGCGACTGCACTTTTTTAATCTTAATTAATTAATAAAATCAATACTACATAAATAATTAAGAGAAGAACTAATAATGCTGTAAATTCCTGACTTTTCATTAGAGAGTAGAATCTATTTACCTCATATATATAAATACGCTTCATCCCGATGCGATGTATTTACGATGTCATTTTCTCGAATAATCATAAGATTTACTTCCAATTCTATCAGAATGTAATATATCATTAATAATAATTAATTTTAAATTTCTTTTATACTTTATAAATATTCTTAACTATTACATGTAGAATTTATCTTTTAAATTGTTTGATTAATTACAATCGACATTCTGCATATATTATATATGCTTTTGAATAAGAATTTTGATTGTTGAATATAAATCTATTCAAATAACATATCTATTTAAATATTAATAATATCTAAAAAGAACGTCCTTCATACTATATTGGATATTCATAAAATGAAGGACTTTTTTCTATACATTTTCATGTCTTTAAATGTGTGTGTCGCTTAGAGATGCGTTTTATTAAAATTTAATATTAAAAATTGACGTTTTGTGTATATAATATATACACTAATTTTATCAAGCGCATTTCATTTTTTTGCAATAAATATGATAGAGAGTGTGGATAAGAGAGAACACACACGGCTTTGCGGCACGTCTTTCTAGTTTAAAGATGACTTAATATAGCCAACGTTTCTCACAGGCTATTAACGAGTTAAATTCAAAGCTCGTTATGAATATTTTCCGTAGTTGCTTTGATTTCTTCTTCGTAGAAAATGGTGCAATCTGCTGGGAATTTATTCTGAAAATCAAAAAAATTTTAGATACATCAAGTTCTTGCTATTTATGATAGAGATTTTCGCGAGAATGCAACAAATATAAATGATTTTATTATCAGAAATCTTAATTAATTAATGACTATATTCAAGTTTTTTTAATATTATTTATAGAGATATATAAAGACAAAAATTATATATATGTGTCTTAATTAAAAAATATTAGTTTAAAAAAATTTATTATAATTTAAAATAACTCTTCTTTTATTAAAATAACATTTTCTCTTTATTAATCATAGTTTACTCACGATGCATCCATCTTGCTCCATGATGGCTCCATAGAGTGACCAGAAATTAATATCTAATTTGTTACTGACTGCCCAAGCAGCAGGGAAACTTGCTACTCTCAGCAAGATGCTGCGTAGTTGTGATTCTTTATTGTCGTCGAGTTGATTCTTCTCATTTATAGTACACAAAATTTGACTAGCACAATGCGGCACTTTCGTCGACCATTTGTATGCTCGATACGCCTACAGATTGATTATATGCTCATAGAAAATCATCGAAATTTAATTTGAGATAAATTTAAGTGATATATGAGTATACCTAATATAATCATAAAAAACAAAAGATTTATAATTTTTAACATTACATAATATTGCATTTGAGATATTCTATTTATCGAGATTCTGTACTTATGTGTATATGCATTCCTCAAAATAATTAAGAGATAAAAATTGTTTAAAAAATAATTAAATAGTTGTAACTTTGTTTCAAAAAATGATAATTTAAATTTTAAAAAAGGGTTTTAAAACTTGAAATTTCTACTTTCGAAAGGTTATAGCTTTTTTCATTTTCTTCAATTCTGATATTTCTTACAAACAGAAAACGACGAACATAACGAAATGGAAAATCTTTTTTCACTTTGTAGACATGTCGCATACACAAGATAATTTGAAAAAAAATTTTTAACATTTTTACGTTAAAGTCTAAACCTTTTCCTGCAAAATCATTTAAAAAAATTTTAATTTCAATTTTTCTTTATCAAGTTATCGCAAATTGAAGAGAAAATACCATTTTTACTTTAATCGTTTATAACTCCGTTAAAAATCATCGTACAGCAATTTTAAGAATAGATTCTTAAAGCTGAATCTTTGTTCTATAGTATGATATAGAGACCGAATTTGTTTTACCTCGTAAACTTTTTAAAAATAGATAAAAATAACGAAGAAATTCGCGAGTTTTCTCAAAGCTTTTTATCAAAGTAAATCAAGATTTTTTTTAACATATTGTACACATCGATCATTTTAAACATACGGATTATTATAAAGAAATTATCACAGCAAGTCTGTAATTTTTTGCCAAGTTTTGGGTAATAAGAAGCACAAAAATTTCCATCGATAATATTTTTTTAGTTACTTTACGTAACTTTTTTTCACAGTTTAAACAAAAAGGAGAAAACTTGCGAATTTCTTTGTTATTTTCAGTTATTTATAAAAGATTCACGAATTAAAAAAGATGCAATCTCTATAGCATATTATAGAGTAAAGATTTAGCTTTAAGAATCCATTTTCAAAATTGCTATACGATGATTTTTAACGGAGTTATAAACGATTAAAGTAAAAATGGCATTTTCTCTTCAATTTGCGATAACTTGATAAGGAAAGATCGAAATTTAAATTTAAAAAAATGATTTTGCAGAGAAAACTTTAGGCTTTAACGTGAAAATGTAAAAAATTGTTTTTCAAATCTTCTTGTGTATACGACATGTCTACAAAATGAGAAGAAAATTTTTATTTCATTATGTTCGTCGTTTTCTGTTAGTAAAAAATATCAGAATTGAAGAAAATGAAAAAAGCTATGATCTTTTGAAAGTAGAGATTTCAAGCTTTAAAACTCTTTTTTAAAATTTAAATTATCATTTTTCGAAACAAAGTTACAACTATTTAAAATTTGCCTATTTTTTTATCCTTTAATTATTTTGAGGAGTGTATATATTGCTTTTTCTAAATCTATATTTTTAAAAAACTATTCTAATATTAATTAAATTTTTGAGAGAGCATTCTCTATATAAACATATTATTATTTTAATAAATAATAAATAATAAATACTGAAACTTTAACATGAACGAATAAGCATCTATGTAATAAAAAAATATGAAAAAAATTACCTTGAGAATGGGTGCAATGAGATCGTTGTTGATAATTTCATTTAATCTGTTGCTTAGTTCTCGTGCATTCACTCTAGACATGATAAATCCTTTTTCGGTGGCTAAATTAACTAATTCCTGGAAATACGCTACCGCTGGTTTTATATATTGATAACTGTTAATATTCATATTTAAGTATTTCTTCGCCATTGCATTTGTCAATCTGAGCATGAAATATAATATTGACTATTATATATGCGTATGTTAAAAAAATAAAAGTATTGTATATATAAAAATTATATAAATATTAATTATATAATATAATTTACATAATAAATACATTAAATTATGTTTTATAAATATTATATAAAGAATATATGTATATATTACACACTAACTTGGTAAGGCTCTCCGTTGGTCTCGCGGTGTCAAACATCATCGTCTTCGGGAATCCCTGAGATCTGAGGAAAGAATTGCCGATATATTGTGCGGCCGCAAGATAACGCGACTGATTCTTTGGATCGGAAACGTGAGAGATCCAGTCAGCCACAAAAGTCGTAAGAGAGTTGATCCATCTTCGACGGATAGCAGGATTCTCAAAACTGTTTAGGATTTTTTCCCACAGAAAGTCACCATTCCCACCCATTACTTGAGCAATCATTTTTGATAGACCGCTGTTCTTCCATAATATTTGTCCGATTTCCGAATTACTAAAATACAAAAAAAATTAATAATATAAAATAGCATGTGTTGAGAAAAATTTATAAATATTAAATTTAAGTCATTTTTTAAAAATTATTTCTTAATTCTTTCTAAATATATTAATATTTTTTACGTTAACTTTTATCGTAGCTTTAAATTCAAGTAAATTTTTTTTCATGGAAGAAGATCGAATCAACAACTTTTTTTTAAAAAGTACAGGATGTAGATATGTATATTCATATCACACATTTCACCGCAATACCTAAAATGCTCCCACATGACATGAACGTTCTCCAATACGGGGGGCAGAAACCAGGAGTGTCCCGAGTGATCGTTAGGTTTGGCATGTCCGTCGCTATTTCCATGACCAAAAGCATCTAAAACTACTGGTATAAGACCCAATAATATATCGTTGTTGGCTTTTTGTTGGAGAAACGAGCTGCCTATGTTGATTAAGTTGCCCCAGTCTATATTATTTTCCTCATGATGTCCTGTGTCTCTCACCGATCTGCCAGTATTATCGTTCGTCAGGGCACCCAAGATCGAACCAACCATTGACATGTCAAGTCCGTTATTTTGGCCATTTGACATTAAATTGCCGATCTCTGAGATGATTTGGCCTACACCATCCGTCGCGCCGACCTATTAATTTTCATATTTAATATTTAATATTTATGCACATTTTTATGCATTTACATATTTTATTTTATACTTATGCACTTTATACTTAATGCTCACGTTTTTTATGTTTTAATAAGAATTAAATATTCGTAAAACTCTTCAACAAAATCGGTCGCAGTAATTAATTTCTGAATATGTAACTGACAATGAGATGTCAAAGTAAAATTAGTTACAAGATAAGATCTGGTAGATTAAATATATTGAAACTGAATTAAATAAGATTTAATAAAATAATAAAATAAAAAAAGAACATGAATATCTTCATCGTACGTGCTTGGTGGAATCCGCAAAGGCTTGAGCCATGTTTTCGATCGATTTCTGACTGAAGAGATTTTTGGCCTCCTCTATGAAGACGTTGGACGCATCGTTCTCATTGTCCTTCTCGGAAATCGCCAACCCGATTAATATCAGTAGGAATGATGTTCTCGACAACCACATTCTTCCGATTCTGCAACACGACATTCAGTTAGCGCATTTGCTCAACGATCTACCTGCTGCTATATAATCATCCGATTATCGGCAACCAACATTTCTGTTACGATTTAATGACATGTGCTGATGATGAGGAGATACACTTGCCTTCTGATAAAGACAGAGAGATTTAAAGCCAGCTGCCGATTCTCGTTGTCGAATTATTTGTAAAAGAAAATGCGTCTCACGCGAAATCACGAAGATTTTAAGCGCGGAAGATATACCGGAAATGTTTCGGCTCGTGGCCACTTGAATGTATACCGTTGTTTCTTTGACACAGTTGCTTCGTCAGTGGTATGTAATACATTACACCTATGTGCATATTTTCGCAGGACGTACGAAAGCATTGGTGACGAACGCGTTGAGTCAGCATGCGAGGGAAAAGCGTACAATTGCGGATATGTCTTTACTCTTTACATATATATTATATAAAATTGCAAATTCGCGCATACATAATGAGATTTCTTGCCTAATCTGGCAGACTCATTTCTAAAGGAAATCTGATTTTTTTACTCATTTTTCTGACGCAATTTATTAATTTATAACAAATATATATTTATGATATAAATATAAATTATATCATAAATATATACATATTTATTATAATTAATAAATACATATATATATTTTTTTTTCTTACATTTATTTGCTTTATAATTTATTGATGGAAGTCTAAAAATTCATAGAATATGAACGATTGATTCAAGATCAAACTAAAATCCAACCAAGCTTCTGTCCAGTTCACTAACACGATTCTAATTTATTTATAGAACAAATAACAAGTTGCTTATCACTATCGATTATCCTGAAGGATCAGTCACAGCAACTGTCTCGAAGACAATGACGATAAACGATCGGCGCAATGTTGATGTGTACTAACAACGCAATTTCAGTACCGTAAACCGCATGAAATTGACATTCTTCAGCTGGAATAACGATTCGGCCTAACGGTACGAACTGTTAGTCATCGTTACTCTAACGCGCTAAAGTCGTCAATGGAAGACCGCAGGAATAAGGAGCTGATCTGGCTGTCACATTTACTAAACATGTGATATAACATATTTCAACATGGCACCAATGTTAGATAGTCTGGAAGTAGAAGCAAGGCATTTGTGGAATGGCCAATAGAAATCGCCTACTTTATATTTTACTTTAATTATATGTCACACTTTTTCACAAAATAAAAAATAATCCAAACTTGTTCGATTTTTTAAATATTTTCTATAACGTACGTGTGTGTTATTTAATTTTTTTTTAATTCAAAAACTAAATTTTTAATATTTGTTAAGCCAAAAAATAACATATGCTTGCTGTAGCTATTTTGATTTTAAAAAATGTATTACGACAAGATCTTATACTCATTATTGGATACAAAAAAATGAAAAATGTAATATACATAGTTGGTTTTATAAAAAGAAAAAATAAACGTGATCACGCAAGTTGCTTCACTTTTATTTAATTTCACATTTGTTTGCAGATATTTTGTAAATATCCATAACACACAAACATATACACATATGTGAACACGGGGAAACCACCTCGTTTTCAGCGGTTGTTGAGAGGGAAAGCTCGTGTGAAATTTTTGCAATATCGGCGAGACTCGAGGTCAAGAAAGATGCAATCGACTTCGTTGTAAAATCATATGGTTGTGCATATCCTTTTCCGAACAATATAAGGAAATTAAATAAACAAACGTCGGCGATTTAATTGCTGAACAGCATTATTGCTTTCGCGAGGCGACCTGCTTTCGAAATTAGGTCGGCATTTGATGTCGAATCTCGCCAAAAGGTGTTCCGTGTAAATTATCGCAATAACGGTGACCTTGATGTAACGGTACGCTTTACGTAAAGAATACACTGAAATGCATACAATGTATAATCGCGCGATTTTGTAAGTCATTACAAAGATATTAGTCATTTTTTATAATAAGTTGCGACATGCTTTTAACACGACCTCAAAAGCTAAAGCAATTACAAAGTAATTGAGGAAAATAATGAAACCGACCTATTTATATGTCATGTTATATTAATTGTATTTTGCTGTTTGTCAACTGACAAAAAGCCATATGTGTAACAGTAAAATTAATTATCAAACTTCTTAACATTCTTGTGAGATAATTATTAATACAAATGTTTGGATGAAATAATTAAAGAAAAATAAAAATTTATAAATATTTATTTATTTAACAAAGTGTTTTGTTTTCTATTTTTTAGAAAGAATGTTGCTACGTTATTTAATACACAAAATTTGCATTTACATATAATTCAGTTGATTTTTAGCGAATGTGCGAATGTATAGAGTTATTTATGCAAATGATACTTGCTTATCATTATGCTGATAAAAAAAGACCTTGGCTGACTAACATTAAAAAGAGTCATCGTTCGAAAGTTAGTTGCACGTTATCATAAATTATTACCGATAAACAGCGAACGGTTTAAAGTTCTAAATAAGCGTCTTTATCATAACATTATTATTGCTTACTCAGGCAATTTTCCAGGTATTTCAACAGAAATATATTTTATTTCAAATGTCGATTACACTTTTAAAACTATGAGAAATTTTTACTTTATTGTAAAAGAATTAATGATAAATCTTTCAAGTATTATATATTTTAAATTGTATATTAGCTTTTAATAATTGTCGATATTAATATAATATTAATAATAATATATAATATTATTATATATATAATATATAATACATATAATATATAAAATAATAATAATATTATTATAATTATATATAAATATATGTATATTTATAAGATGTATAGAAAGTCAACGTCCAAATGAAATGGAGATAATTATTCATCAGTGAATCTTGTTATACATATTTATTTTTGTTTATATTTATGTAAATAATTTAACATAGTTGTAAGCAATTCATTTGTTCATGTTTCTTTAATTCATTAAGCAATATTTTATGTACGATAAAGAGAGTAACATTTATAGAAATCTGCAATTTAATAAAATAAATGCAATATCGAAATTTTTTTAATTACTTTGATACCAACAAATTAAGTATGTAATACTAAAAAAACGACCAATTCTAGATTATAAATTCTTTATTTAAATTAATATATGGTATCATGACGTTTCGACCTGTGGTTTAGATCATTTTCAAATGAATTGAAAAATATAATTATATACAACGTTAATACAATTGCAATAAAATAAGATTAAGCCACCAAGAAAGTACAAAAAATTCTTACATAATCTTTGAGATGACATAACAGATACAGCAATGAGAAAAACTTATAACATATCACAAAAATAAAAATGTATAAAATTAAACCTTGTGTCTTAAAAGACTTCTTGTCAGTAACAGAGCGTGTTCATGCAATACAACAAACCTACTTTGATACATAAGACATTGTTTACGAATACAAACAGAAATACAATAATATATGTAACAAAATTCAACTTTTAGTCGTTAAGTACCCACATATTAGATGGATCTTCAAAGTTATTTTCTCGAAAGCTAAAGGCTTTTATAGAACATTTCGTTCTACATTTTTAACTTGAATTTAGGTCAATTATTTCCATTTTATTCGATTAATTTTCCATACGTATACACATATACAATATATCAAAAATCGTAAAACAAGCAAAATAAAGGTAATATACATATATGCATATGTATTTATATATATACTTTTTATTCTCAAAATTAATTTATAGTAATAAATTTAAATATATATATATATGTATAAATTAAGATAATAAATAAATATATGAAGATATAAAAAAAAAGAATCTATGTACGAATTTATAAATGTATGTGCTCATTGCAATTACAGTTTACGTTGTACTATTATGTTGCTTCAAGCACCTGAGGTATTCTTACTCTTACAAATTGTAATATTATGGGGCAACGCGAAACAGTTACTTAATATCTCGGATACAGTCAGCCAGCTTAGTATACCCCTTCAATGTAATTAGTAAGACAAATAAATTCGTTGTAAGTTACGATTACACGCGTGGTGGCGGCGGAGAGAATTGATGGTTGAAAAATTCGCGTGGCCGCACCAGCAGCAGCCGACAACGGTAGTCGCAGTCAAGTAGAGCGTGTTCGATGGTGTTTCTGAATGTGGAAAGACGATCATTGGAGCTCGAATTGCCGTTACGTTATTTATGACGGGAAAATTTTGCGTGCAGAAGAGTTATGCGGGAGATTCATTTTTGCGGAATGCGCGAAATTCATTCCGACCGATATACGCGAGATTGCTCTTTATACTACAATTATAGCATTTACGAGCGCCTAATGTGTTAATTATTGTAAAGATATAATGCGTCGTTATAAAAAAAAATTATAATCTATTTGTAATGTAAAAATATTATAATCTATTTGTACTAAAATATCTTCAATGGCATGATATAATGAGATTTGTTAAATGCAATGCGCGAATCGCATGCGGCTAAAATATGTTGACAGAAAATAAAAAAATAATAAGAAACATTAAAACAAATGCAATATTGTCATATTTCTCAATTCACACTGTTACATTTATATTCCACTGAAACTTTATCGAACGAGTTTCTCGTCTGTTATCCAATAAATTCGTAAAAACGTATATAAATGTTTAAAAATTCGAATACTGTAAGGATCCATCATTTCAACTGACAGAAGAAAATATTGAAATCTCGAAGACATTAGGAAAAAACCTGAAAATCTGATGTGTAGCAATTTGTTATCTTCCACGTACCTTTAAAATCAAATAAGTTCTGCCTGTGAGTGTAAAAGAACTAGACACGTGTACGATTCCTCAAGAGTCCGTGCACTTGACACGACGAAGGTTTTGGCCTGACTGGCGTCAGACGTAGCTCGTCGAACGGTACTTACCTACCTGAGCAAGTTCCCCTGGCTCTGGAGCGTAGAAGCCGACGATACAATGCACCTCCTGCATGTCTCTCGATGCAGATTCCTGCATCATGGCCCGGATATTATCCGTACTTGACTGTGGAATTCCCGTACTTCTACCTTGAAACTTTCGAAACGCGCTCTCGCGTCCGATTTTTTATTTCAAGATCTGCCACATGTATAAACCGTTTATTTCTTGAATGTCTTCACAAGACTTTATTAAGTTTGCTATTTTCTATTAATATAATTAAATTTTGCACATATATGTATTTCTTAGCAAAAATATTATTGGGAATCCAATTGCGCGGATTAACGCTAAAAATTAATAAATACAAACAAATAGTTTTCATGAATAACAATTTTTGTATTAAAACAAATAAATTTACTTCACAAATACATTTTATTGTAGCATTAATTTTATATCAGAAGTGATACATTTTTATCTTTATTAAAATGCTTACTATTTCTTAATCAAATTTATTAATTCTATAATTTAATTAAAAAATCAATGAAAAATAATATATTGTACAAATCATACTAGAGGCACTTAATAATTAAATGTTCATAAGATGACACTATATAATACAATATAATGTATTAATGTTAAATGATTTTGGATAAGCATTAAATGTTAGTACTTTACAATATGATATTTAGCCAATGATATTTTATCAATAATTTGAATTGTAATATAGAAACGTTTGCAATCGCAAATGAAAATTACCGTTACTGAAGAGCTTCATCAATTTAAATCGAGATTCGATATGCAAATTGTAACTGCTTAACGTGTTTCTAAGGAGTTATCTATTTGGGAAAAATTCCGGATACCAAGTGGATAAGACGTCTCACTGGATAAAATCTCGTGGTCCTTTCCACAAGGTCGCTGTAACACAAATACACGAGTAGCTGTTTCGTGGTAAAACCGGCTCCGATACAGATACACACACAAAAGACGGACAGTCATTGACCCTGCAAAGAATTAGGGAATGTACCGTTCAATGTACCGATCTTTATAATTCTAAATACCAAGACGATGTATGATTTCTGCACGATATAACGTAATTTTAACTGATTCGTAACTTTTTAATTACATAATTTTTTTATTTTATTTTTTATCTCTTTTATTATTTCTTGATTTTATTTGCTTTTTGATTCTACTCTTTTTTATTTAATTTTTTAAGTACAAAAATCTGTTTATTATTTTATTTACTTTTTTATTTTATTTTTTATGTAATTTTAATTATACATAATTTTTTAATTCAATTTCTTTATGTTTGTTTTCCTAAAGAAACGTTTGACCAATTAGAAGTCGTGATATAATATCAATTTTTAGTTAACTTGCTATTATATATTATATATTTTATGTAATTTGTCTTAAGTAAAAAGTTATTAATTATATATCTGTTAAATTATATAAATGTGTTAAAACAATTTTTGCAAACGCAACAAACGAAAACTTTTCAATAAAGAACTATTTTCTTTGGAATAATACAACTGCAAAAGAGAATTAATGCGACTAACGTTTTTTTATGCAACAAAAACATATACTGCGCTTTATAAATAGATAATGCAATATTATATAATCTGCAGTAACATACAGTTAGAGTTTAATACTTTTAACCATCAGCGATATTGTGTAATATGACTTAAATTTATAAATATAAATATTACATGTATAATCGTAACAAATACATTGGAATTTTTCAACGTCTCTATTTTACTGGAAAAAAGTCATTTGAATTCACTGTCTATAAATAAGAAATAAGAAATTATAGAGAAAAAAGTCCAACTTTTCTGCGTGTTGACATATAGACGTATAAGTGATATATATCTATATATATATTACTGTATCCTATGAGAATGATACGCAAATGTTTCAAGATTTAAATATTTTTATAAGAGAAAAAAAAGAAACAACAGAGAGACTATAATGAATATAAGATAATATTCATATATCAAGGTAGCGGTTTTTTCTAGATTGCGACATTTATGCAATTTTTTTCTTGAAGAAAAGATTTCTGATACATTCCATCGTGCTCTGCGAAAAGTCAGCACGGCTGGAAGCGGTCGCACGCGAATAAAAGATGCACAATGCATGATGGTATCTTCGAAAAAAGATCGCGGACTTCAGCGTGCTTTGACCCGATGCACATTTATGACGGAAGTCCTGGGATTCAGAATGATCTTCCACGGAGGCACCATGCTGTCGGTGCCCAAGTTTGCAATGTGCTGCATTGGCATTTGGCCCGTGAAGAAAAAAAATCTCTTCATGGATCTTAGATGGATCATTGCGGTATTTTTGGAAGCAAGTATTCGTTAAACAAGCTATTTATTACGAACACTTTTTAATCTCTCACACTTTGTTTTCATAAAATTTAAGAAAATACAATTACATTGATTAATATTAATATGAGCAAATATTAATATCACATGAAATCATTAAATATAGCTATGCATTTTTTACACTTGTACTAAAGATTTCCAGTAAATGTGTTTTTTTTCTTATAATGCGAGAATTGAAAAACTTATGTAATTATCTTTTTTTATTAAATACTACAGTTATGTAGAGAAGAAAATTGTTTACACGTAATTATCACCTGCCAACGAAATCGAAAATGGTTTACACGAAAAGAATAAATTTAAAACTGCAAAGCATGAATGTTTCATGTTTTTAGAATTTTCTATACTTCAGTGCGGAAATGATTAAGTTTATAATTAAAATAATTTTGAAACACATTAGGCTAATTAACGTAGATCTAAAATTAAATAATTTTTATTATTTATTATATAAGTGTAATTTAATATACATATATATATTTTTTATATAGATAAATTATTATTTTATGTGTGCTAGCAAATATTATAATGCAGATTATAATTTAAATATTATATTAATTTTTATTATTAATTATATAAGTGTAATTTAATATACATATATATATTTTTTATATAGATAAATTATTATTTTATGTGTGCTAGCAAATATTATAATGCAGATTATAATTTAAATATTATAATCTACGTTACAATATACAGATAATTTTTATTGTAACTTTAAGGTAATACCGATGTGCGTATATATTACCGAAATTTACCTCCATTGTAACGGCGCGAAACAATCCTTTGATTCGATAACAACCGGTTCAGCTGCCGCGTTAGCCCTTACAAGGCTAATCACACCGCGAATTCATCGAGAGGAATTACTCGAAATAGTCACCTCCATGACGGACGATTGGGCATCGCAGAAGGATAAGAAAGTGCGCTGGATCATGAAGAAGTACGCGACGATGTCAACGCGCGTGACGACGCTCACCTTCATTCTGGTGGGCATCATAGTGGGTGTTTACGTCTCTATGGCGATATCGATGATTACTGGAAAAAAGCATAATAACGAGATCGACAGTGCAAACACGAGCCACGAGGACCGCATTTCTAAGCACGAGTCCTGCGTGTTTCGAAGCGAGTCGTCGCGTCAGATGTTTATGATCGTTCAGGCGATGCAAATGTTTATCACCGGAATATCGACCTTCGGTACCACCAGTTTCTTCTTCGGACTGGCCATGTATTTGTGCTCCCAGTTCGATGCGTTGAGCGTCAAGCTGTCCAAATTCAGGGTCAACGAAGCGCATCGCGCGATAGCCGAAGCGGTCCAGAGGCACTGCCAGCTTATCCGCTTGGCCAACTGTATGGAGGAGTCGTTCAATGCAAACATTTTGATGTATCTGTTCGTCACCAGCACTCTCATGTGTATAGATGGTAATGCGCCTTTAAATATATACATAAATCAGAGAAATTACAAAAACAGGGAACTTCGCCCATTTTGGATCTCCTCTCAGTCATCAAATATATACATATTTTTCTAAATAATAATGGTATTTAAAAAAATAGTTTTAAGTCCTTGCCAGAAATTGTTTTGACCTCTTAATGATGTCATTTTTTATAACTATTATCAGAGCTATTCAAGACAACAAATACGTCATTATTGTGCTCAGAGGATATCTGTACTTTCTGAAAAAGATATTTAGCATATCCTAGATAATCCTATCCTTAATAATCGATATGATATGATAACAACAGTCTACAGTACGAGCACCATTTTTACCATCAGTTCAAGAAGTACTTGCACGAGGAGGTATCTTATACGTAAAAAAATCTTTAGGAAAAGATGAATACAAAAAACAAGAATTCTCGAAAAATAAAAAATTATCAGGTTATTAAACTTAAAAGCATAGTAACAAAATAAATACACTTTATACACCAAAATTGATAATATCTTAACGACTGATGGATGTTTTGGACATTAGCATCTCAATCCTCTCATAATGTCATAACTTGTATATGTCTCATCCCTGGATTCGGGAGGCCCAAAAACTCCTATAAAAATGGGCGAAGTTCTTTGCAAATTCAGTTTTGAATTTAATTTTAAACTTTATCGAATCAGTTATTGTATAAAGAGAGAAATCATAGTAATTATCTTACGAATTTATAACGAAATAGCTTATAATTTGCAAATATATTTATGGCTTTAATTTACCTGGCAATTTGCAATGTTTGCAATAAAATATAGAATCTCTCAAACTTTGGATATAAACATTACAATAATATTTTTCACAGGCTTTATGCTAATCGTGTCATTACGTCTTGGCAATCTATCTATGATTGTGCATAACGTTAGCATTTTATTTCTCATGATAATCCAACTGTCATTTTATACGTTCGCGGGTGACTGTTTGGAGATGAGAAGTACCGCGCTGTCATATGCCACTTACGACTGCCATTGGTATGAGCTGCCAGCCAATGTAGCCAGAGACTTTCATATTATTCTAATGCGAGCCAGTATTCCACATCAATTGACAGCCGGAAAATTTTTGCCCATGAACATGATTATGTTCAAAGATATTTTGAAGTCCACAGCGTCATATCTCTCGGTTCTGCGTGTCATGTTGAATGAATAAATTATTTTTATCCTTATAAAAAATTGTGTATAGAAAATATTAATTATTTACTTTGTAAAGCAGTTTAAAAGATAATTTAAAATAAATTATGTCAATCATATTTTAGTTTTAAAAATATCCATATATATTATACATGAATTATTATTATATATTTTATATAATTATATACTACATGATATATTATTTTACACTTAAAAATATTAATGTATTATATTATTCACACATCAATATTAAATATTTATATGTTGAAGAATGATTTTTGTTAGATCGCATACAGAGATGACTTTAGCACCCGTTTGCTACCGAAATATGTGTATAATATACGCATACTGATATAATACGGTTATATAGTTATTTTGAATTATATAGTTATTTTGAAAAAAATTTCGATTTTTCTCTTAAAAATATGCAATATTTTATATCATTTATCCTTTCTTATTTCAATTGCGACTCATGCAAGCAATGTAAAATGATCGACTGACGTTCCACAGTACACGAGATCGCGTGTTGAAAAATCGATGCGTACAATATAACTCTTTGATTTCGGCTACAAGCACGACGGATTGCAATGCATTATTAATTTTCGTACGCCTTTCAATATTCCTGCTCCAAATAAAAGAGACACATGCGTTACACTGCATTGCATATCGCGAATGCACATTTGTTACATACGTATATTCTCAGTAGAGTCTGTAATCGGTAAAGGTTCAAAACTTAGTAAGACAGTCGTCGATCACAGAAACATGTGATTTTGTTGCGTTCTGGTTCCGCGTGACTATTCCTTGCGTGAATAAAAGATCAAAGAAAGACGCCTCCGCTTCGACCTCGATGGCTGGCAAGGTGACTTTGCTCGTCGCGTGCCTCAGTAGGGCTCCAGTTTGATGAAGTCACGTGTAGAGAAAGGAAATTGAATAAATTTTATTCAAATTGGTATATCTTAATTTTGTTCAACTCTTTTGCGCGTAATAATTATTTGCAATAGGAGAATAAACCAACTTTAATTCTTGATTAGGTTGATGTCAAATGCAATATATCTGAATTTTTTCTTATTAAAATACTATTTGTATCTATACTATTGATGTTGTGTTTATGTAATGATAAAATTGTATTCTTTTTATTTGCATTCTATTTTCAATAGTTTTTGAATTTTTGTTTTTTATTTTGATCTTTTAAATTAATTCTTAGAGATTCTTAAAGAAGTATCGAGAATTCTTAATTATGAAAAAAACAAGAGAGTGGAACGAGGGAACTCAGCGTGCTATAAATATTTATGAAAAAGTTCTTGGTATAATTGGAGTTTGGCCCTTAAATGCGGGAGAAAAAAAATCCATCGCACTGTGCGTCTTAGCTATTTTGATCCAGGTAAGTGTCGAAAAATTAATTATTTATATAATTAACACAAAATAATTTTAAATAAAACTAAATATATGTCTCGGTGTTGTTATTCCTGTTCATATCTTTGCTTGTAGTTTTTTTTATAAAAACATCTGGATGTTTAAAATTTTCGAATAATTAGAGATTAAAATGAAAGAGAGCGTTGCGCGAATTAACGCGATCCCCTCCGGCGATTAGATCAGTACTATCGGCAGTCTGTCTCTGGAAGCGTACTGGCAGTGCCTCGGTACCGAGGATATGATGGAGGCCTTTTTAATGGATCTCTCGTCTGTCGTCAGCCTTTCCAAGCTACTTGTCGTCCGGATCACTTGGAAGCACACCTACATCCTGGTAACCTCCCTTGTTGACGACTGGTCGACATCCAAAGATGCACCACGACGGGAGGTCATGACGAGGTACGCCAACGTCGGCAGAACCGTGTCTCTGGCAATGTTGTATCTGGGCTACGCGTCGGGCGTGTCGTTTCTCTTCATGGCCGTGCCGTTCGACAGCCTGATACCCTGGCTGAACGCATCCAAGCCGAACGAAAACGACACCGTGATACCAACATATTTCTTGGCGACTTACTGCGTATTCGGATCGCTGCCCGGGATCGCCCACAGCTGCATCCTACTATTACAAGTGGCGCAGATCTTCGTCAACGCCACCTCGCATTGCGGGAACGACGGCTTCTTCTTCGGTCTCACGATGCACCTATGCGGACAGTTCGAGGTACTCCAGATGGACTTTGCCGATATTGAAGTGGAAGAGCGGATCTGCAAGAAAAAAATGCGGATGTTGATCGGCAGACATTGCCATCTGATAAGAATGGCCGACAGTCTCGAATACGCTTTCAATATGGCCATCTTTGCGCAGACATTGATGAGTGTACTGTTGCTTTGCGTGGAAGGTATTTTTTATGCTTCTTTTTACATTATTATGTTAAGTTTTGCTTACGTATTTATAGTAGTGCATAACAAATGTGTAATTTCTATTTAACTAAAAAATAAGAGGGTAAAAATGGGTAAAAAAGAGTAAAAAAGTAAAATACTTTCAATGCAATTTAATGAAATATATCCAACAATTTTAATATGATGTTATGATTGCATATTGTTATCTACGATTAAATTATTTAAGTTTTCTCTTTTATGTTACTTGATTTTTTCATCGCTTCAAAATTTTTAAATTGTAAAAATATAAAAAACTTAATGCATCGAGACTTTGAATAAAGATTTCTAGAGGAAGTTTTAAAGAGTTGGAAGAAAAAATACCAAAATAAATCACTTTCAAAGTAAAAACATTTAAATATTCCGAAGATAAACGAGCTCGAAAAGCGAACGTGTCTACTCATAAAGAATTGCTAAACTTATTATTGACAAATATTGAAAAGTTCTTAGAAGTCAAAAATGTTTTATAAATTTTGCAATGATACTCTATTGATATTTTATTCTATTAAATATTCTATATTACTAAATTATTGACAGAAATATAAAAACATATATTTATATATAATAATTTAAGACTTACTTTCAGGTATGCAATTGTTAATTTCGTTGAAATTAAATGATAATATGGCAGTGATCAAACACGTTGTCTTGATTTTGACAATGATGGTGCAACTGTACCTCTATTGCTACGCTGGCGATCAATTGGAATTTATAAGTAAGAAACTCGCGTATAGTGCTTACGACAGTCCGTGGTACGATTTCGACGTGAAAATAATGAAAAATCTGCCGATGGTAATGTTACGAGGAGTGATTCCTCATCAAATAACGGCTGGGAAATTCATACCTATGAATTTCTTTTCCTTCAAAGAGATCTTGAAAGCTACAGGCTCCTACCTCTCCGTTCTCAGAGTGATGATGGAAGGATAAAAAATAATACGGTTGAACACACACGATTATAAATTGTGACTGAGGTATCTTCGATTGTGCGCGTTATATTTCTTTTTTTGTAATTTATTTCATCTTGTATGCGCATCAACAGTCTTGTATGTATGATATCGATAACGTATTTTGCCAAACATTAGATAAGAATATAGCATAATCAAAGATTGAATGTTTATATTTATACCACTATTGTAATGAAATAAATGTTAAAACGCACAATTCTACACTTCAATCGACACGTGGATAAAAATATATACGTTCCTTATCAAATTCTTCGCTGTTTCGTATGAGTTGGCAGTGTAAAGACACCGATCTCTTTTCGTACTTATCTTACCTGCCTAAGAAGAGTACAAAGTGGCTAATAAAATATAAGTTCATCTGGATAATAAACTAATGGGGCGCGGTTGATAATTCACGATAATGCTTGACAAAATGATCATAAATCGATGTTAAATTGGCAAATTTTTATTTCTAACTATTGAACAAAGTGCTTTCCAATGGGGTAGTTATTCAAGTTGTTCCTATCCCACAATGTCGGCCGAACGTTGGAACGACGACATCGCCTACGTTTTCTCCACTCATAGAATATTCTTAGGAATATACGGCTTGTGGCCATTGCAAACGTCGACGCTATTCACAAAGATACGATGGGGCTTCTCTATTATTGCACAGGTACGTTGTCATCTGAATGAAATATATATGAGAAAAAGGAATTGACATAATAATTTTGTCACTTTTTTTATGATAGTGAAAAAATATATTTTCTGTTTTACTAATTTTTATTTTAATTTTTATCTATTTTATGCTTTATTATAACATATAAAAGTTGTTTATTATTGTTATGCTTATCAATATTTACGCAAACGTACATTTTAAGTCAAAACATTATTATTTAGATTATGATAATACCCTTTGTGCTGTTGGATCTTACATCGAGCAAACAGAACGCAGATACAGGCATAGAAGATATACTATATTTCGTGTCCGCGATACTTGGAATCATAAAAAATATGTGTATCGGTCTCAGTAAAAAAAAACTAAATATAAACATTAATGGTGCTATCGATGATTGGTTGTCTGTTAAGGACGACAAGGAAACTCGAAAGATTATGAAAAAATATGCTTACAGAGCCAGAGTACTCACTCTTATGTTACTATACTCGGCCGGTGGATGTTTTTCTATTTACGTATCAGTAATCATATTTATAAATCTGAAGCAGATATTCTTCACCGATTCGAATTTATTAGATGGTATCAAATTTGTTTCTATATTTATCAGTATACTATTATTTTTCATTGACTTAATTTCTTAAATTTAATTGTATATTAAGATATATTACATAAGCAACATATTATACTTGTATTCTCATGGTGTGCAGCTAATACAACAAATTGGATACTCCTGATTCCATGTGGCCCATTAAGTAAATCGATCACTGGCTCGCAATATGTTATAATACTCGCTATTCAAATTGTTCAAACGTCCATAATATGTACGGTGCAATGTGTCGTAGATAGCTTTTTCTTCAATGTCACCGTACATCTCGCTGGTCAGCTCGAGGTGCTCAGAAATAAATTTCAAACATTCGCAAACGAGCCAAACACTGATGCAAATTATCGAAAAAAGTTCATCGGCTTGGTTAACAGGCACAGCCAGCTAATGGAATATTATCAAAATTTGGAAGACTCCTTCAACCTTTTTATACTAATCCAACTCGTGATGGTGACGATTATGCTTGCATTGTTAGGTAACGTATAAAAAAAATTTATTTTTCTTATTACATGAATTTATATAAAATGTCTAATATATATATATACATATTAATGTAAATAATTGATATAAAAAATATACATATTTAAAAATAAATATACTATGTAATAAATATATAAATATTATATTTATATTATTAAAAATATTTTTTTAAATATTATTTATTAAATTAATTACACATGTCACATTAAAAATATTTTGCCTCCTGTTCTATTTTTTAAATCAAAAATTTTCCATTTAGGATTACGTGTAAATTTGTGCCTAAAGGAAAACAATCACATTGAAGTGGCGAAGAGTAGTCTAGTCTTAAACTATTTATTAATGGAATCATTGGTACTTACTTATGGTGGTGATTTCCTGCAAAGGGAAAGTGAAGGTATATTTTATGCGTTATACGCAACTTCCTGGTTCACGCTTCCTTCAGCGCTGATGAAGGACCTGAACTTCGCAATGATGAGGTCAAGCATTCCGTTTCGTTTTACTGGTGGAAAATTTTTCTACGTTAATCGCGAAACAATGATGTATATTCTCAAGACAGCAGCTTCGTATATTTCCGTTCTACGAATAGCACTAACAAAATAATTTTCAATTTGAGTGAATGCAATGCCTACGTCTCAATATGTGTGTGTGTGTGTGTGTGTGCTTGTGTGTGAATGTGTTTGTATGTGTATGGAAATATTTAAAATATGTAAAAAACAATATTATATAAAGATTTATATTGTAAAGAATGCAAATATTTAATTAAAGTATTTTTGAGACATGCACTTCTCTCTCCGTGTAGTAATTCAGATATTTTAAAATTATTTAGTTGATGTAAATTATTTGCACGGTTTGATTAAAAAAATGATTCTCTGTTATTTATGATATTCATATCTAATTTTATTTCGAGGTACATAAATTATTAACATAAGATATTTATACTTATTATTATTTAAACAGTTACTCAGATCTTTTAAATTTTATGATATATTTTTGTAATATTTTTTTTTAATATATCGATAAAATATATAATTTAATTAATTACAAACAAATTTTAAATTAATATAATAGTATTTTATTGCGCCATAAAATAATGTATCTATTTTCTTTTTTAAAGAAAGCGCAATTTTTTTATCATTTTTATCATTTTTATTTTTACGTTCTGTATTTCCACAAACATGTTATAGATATCTAATATTTTTTTCACTTTACCGTATTCTTTATATATTATATTTTATTATTATAATGTATTTTCACGAAGAAATATTTTATCAGAAACGATAACTTTTTTTACTGGAGAAATTTAAAGATCTGACAACACGATCATAAATTATTAGCATATCTATGAAAGAAATTGTTCTCATTATTATTTGATATGCAATACTTGTATAATAATGGCATCAAATTTTCTTCAATTTGTTACATTTTTTATAATATTCTCTTGTTTGCTGCCCTCTTGCTTATTTGTCTGGAAAGAAATGTAAGAACCCTTTTTTGTAGATGACAAAACCATAATTTCAGAGGATTGTCCAACTTCTCCCTTTCATTCTCTCTCGTTTTTTTCCTCCAATTGTAGATTTTTTATTTATCAACAAATAGAACACTTAAACGACTGTAAGTCTATTATTCTAAAAATTAGTATATCGTCGAAGATGATGTCGCAACCGTATAATTTGTACAAACACAAATGCAAATGCAAACTATACTTTTATTTTCCAAGAAATCGTGATAGTCGAAGAATTCATATGAATAATAGATGGGAAAAAATCCAGAGATAGTAGCGAGGGGGTTGTCGCAGCATAACAAATGCGACTTGCATTTATAACAAATCGGATATCGAACGATGTGGTTATCGTGGAGAGACAAAGAGCTACAATCAAAGAGAAGCAAATGGGAGAGAAACTTCACAGAAATATTGTAAAATATATGTCTCAGAGAAAATAATAATTGAAGAAATTGTGCAAAATAATCTGTTTTAAAGAACTTGAAAATGAGTTCGCCTACGCAATGGAATGCTGAAACTGCATATGTTTTGACGCTTTATAAATATCTCCTTGGTATACTGGGACTCTGGGTCTTGAATGAAGAAAATGTATTCTCTAGAATTCGATGGTTTATATCAACAATGGTGGAGGTAAGTTATGATAATTTATTAAATAATTATTAAAATAATTAATATCTTCAGTTCTTTCAGTTATTTTCTTGTCATCGAATTTTAGTTCTATTTATGTGTCTCTTATCTTGAGAATCTTGATATTTTACTGCATAAAAGCTGAAATAAAATCCTAAATAATTGCATACACTACACATTATATAATTTGACAAAAATAAAATACTCGCATAAAGATTGAATGCATCAATTTAATTTTTATGAACCAGATGACTGCAACAGTCAGCCTATCACTGGAAGTCATTCGACATTGTCATGGTTACGAGGATGCTTTCGACGCTTTTCTATCAGCCTCCTCATCCGTGATTAGCATATCGAAACTGCTCTTGCATCGTGTGACTTGGAGACATAAATTGATTCTGGTGCAAGCCATCATTCACGATTGGACTTTTGTCAAGACTCCTCGCTCACGTGATATAATGCTAAAATACGCTCGCACAGGTAGATTTGGCTCGTTGGTATTTTTTTATCTTGGTTGCGCCTCCTGCGTGTTCCTTTTTTCGTCCCTTATATTCGCTAATTTCGATCTACCCTGGATTTCCTTGGAAAAGGAGACTTACAATCAAACGAGCGAAAGAAGATTGCTTTTAGCGGCCTATTGTGTGTTTGAAACATATACATTCTTCGCTTACTTCTTCATTGAAGTCCTGCAGACGCTACAAATCCTTGTCAACTGTATCTCACAGTGTGGAAACGACGGGTTCTTCTTCGATCTTACGATGCATGTGTGCGGACAATTCGAGGTTTTGCGAATGGACTTTATTGAAATAAATAACAAACAATCGCTTTCCCACAATAAACTTAGTATCCTGTTAAAGAAACATCACCGTCTCATAGATCTGGCGCATAATCTGCAAAAAGCATATAGCTTGGTCATTTTATCGCAGCTGTTAATGAGTGTCATGCTTTTATGCGTCGAAGGTAACTTATTTTAAGAATAAAAGACTTATTTTAAAATAAAATAATAATTAAATTTAAACACGCAAATATAAGCACATAGATATATACATGTGCATATATTTGATTGCAATAAACTTCTCCGACACTTCACATAATGTAGCTAATATAACAAGATATTGATATTAAAATAGTTTGGTTTTGCATTTTTAACTGCAAATTTTTTAAACTTATAATAAATTTAAATATTGGAATCATATTCAGCATGAGAAAATTATATTGGAAATAAAACTTTTGTTATTCTTATGTTTAAAAAAAATTTTTTTGTAAAACTATTTTAATAATAGCTATATAAAATTATTATATAAAAATTTTTATGTGAATGATATATGTATATACATGTATATTGATATTTTAAATACTCAAAACTTTGTAGAAAAAATTTTCTAAACTCATTATTCATTTAATTCATCATTGTACATATATTTCAGGTTTCCAATTAATTCTCACACTTTCTATAAACAATACATTTGCCGCTATGAAACATCTTCTTTTCATCGTCGTGCTGCTGGTACAACTTTTTATCTATTGCTTCGCCGGACAAACATTGGAGTTTCAATCGCAAGAACTTGCCTACGCTATTTATGAGACACCATGGTATAATTTTGATATAAGTGTGATGAAAGATTTGCCATTAATGATACTTCGCGCAGCTAATCCCCATCAGTTAACTGCAGGAAAACTTCTAGCAATAAATTTCCAGAGTTTTAAAGAAATTCTGAAGGCTTCCGCTTCGTATTTGTCCGTGTTAAGGGTAATGCTGGACACGTGAGATATTTTTAAGAATAAAGAAGAAAATATTTTAATATATCATCGTATAATTTGCTTTAAAAAAATTCTAATATTTTTTTTAAATTAAAAATTCAATGACTATATCACCTATTATTTGATATTATATAGTGCCAAGATTACTGAAATAATCACAATAAAACGGCAATATGTGTATGTGTTTATATGTATATATGGCAAACTTTAAAATATGCAAAAAACAAAGTAATACAAAGATTGATATTGTAAAAGACGTAAATATATTTGATTAAAGCATTTTGGAACATGAACTTCTGTGTAGTAATTAAGACAACGAAAATGATTTAATTCTAAAATTTGACTTTTGCATCATCTATTAAAACAAATTGGATTCTTTATTATTTATAATAATTATAGCTAAAGTTTTGACATATGAAAACTATCAAGATTAGATTTATTAGATTCATTAATATTTAAACAGTTACTCTCTATTCTTTATTATTAATTTAATTATATATTTTTATGATATATGTCTAGGAAATATATTAATAATATAAAAACTAAAATATATTGTTTAATTAATTATAAATAACACGTGTTAATTAATAATTGTATTTTATAGCAGCATAAAATATTGTACTTGGCTGTTCTTCACGAGAAAAAGCTATATCTTCTATATATTTTTATTATGTTTTTCTTGTATCTAATATTATAATGATATATCGATTGTAATGCAGTTTCAAAATGTGTATATCTATCGCACTTATCGATTATCCAGTTTCTTCTTCATTTTTCCACTGCACGGGCAATCCCAGTTTTCTTTTTTCACAAACGTTCACAGATATTTAATATTTCTTCCATTTTATACCTCGCATTTTTGTATATTATATTTATTATTACATTACCTTTTTAGAAAAAAATATTCGCTCAGAAAAGGTAACTTTTTCTTTACTGAAGAAATTGAAAAATCTGACAACACGATTTTAAATTATTAGCGTACTGTAAAAGAAATATTTCTTATTATTATTTGAAACACACTGTTACATTTTTTATTAAAAATGATGTTCCCTTGCTTGCTGTTTTCTTACTTATTTCTCGGAAAAGAAATGTATGATGTCGTTTCAGTGGATGACAAAACCATAATTTCAGAGTATTGTCCAACTTATCTTTTTCTGCCTCGTTCACTTTCTTTCTCTCTCGTTCTTTTTTCCTCGCAATCGCAGATTTTTTATTTATCAATAAATAAAACATTTAAGCGACTGTAGGTCTATTATTCTAAAAATTAGTACATATCGTCGAAGATAATGCCGAAGAATTCGTATGAATAATGAATCAGAAAGAAATCCAGAAAGAGTCGTCACGTCGCGAGGGGTTGTCACAATGTAAGAAATACGACTTGCATTTATCACAAATCGGACATTGAACTATACAGTTATCGTCGAGAGACAAAGAGTTACAATAGTCTTCAGAGAGAAGCAAACGCTGGAAAAACTCGGTAGAGTGATCGTAAAATATTTTCTCGAAGAAAATAATATTGTAATTGAAGAAATTGTCTGAAATAATCTGAACTTTTAAAGGACTTGAAAATGAGATTGCCCGTGCAGTGGAATGCTGAAATTTCGTATGTTTTGACACTTTATAAATATCTTCTTAATACACTTGGACTTTGGGTATTAAATGAAAAAAATGTGTTTTCGAGGATTCGATGGTTTATGTCGACAATTGTGGAGGTAAGTTATAATAATTTTTCAAATAATTATTAAAATAATTAATATTAGATATTCAGTACTTTTTGTCGCCAACTGAAAACAACGATAACATAATTATAAATATTACATAAATCGTATACACTAAAAAAAAAAAAAAAAAAAAAACTCTATATAATTTGTAAAATAAAGTATTTACATAAAAATTAAATACATCTATTTTAATGGATCAGATGACTGCAACAGTCAGCCTATCACTGGAAGTGATTCGACACTGTCACGGTTTCGAAGACGCTTTCGACGCTTTTCTATCAGCTTCCTCGTCGGTGATTAGCATATCGAAGTTGCTTTTGCATCGCGTGAATTGGCGAGATAAATTAATTCTAGTGCAAGCGATTATTCACGATTGGACTTCCGTCAAAAATCCTCACACGCGCGATATAATGCTCAAGTATGCGCGCACAGGTAGATTCGTCTCCTTGATATTATGTTATCTCGGCTGCGCCTCCTGCGTGTTTCTCTTCTCGCCCCTTATATTCGCCAATCTTGATCTACCTTGGATTTCTTGGGAAAAACAGCCTTATAATAAAACAAGCGAAAGAAGATTGATTTTAGCGGCCTATTGTGTCTTCGAAACATATACATCTTATGCTTACGGTTTTATTGAAGTCCTGCAGATGCTACAGGTTCTCGTCAATTGTATCTCACAATGCGGAAATGATGGATTCTTCTTCCAACTTACAATGCATGTATGCGGACAGTTCGAGGTTCTTAGGATGAACTTTACTGATATAATTAGTAAACAATCGCTTTCCCACAATAAACTTGGCATCCTGTTGAAGAGACATCATCGTCTCATAGATCTGGCGCATCATCTGCAAGAAGCATACAGTCTGGTCATCTTGTCGCAGCTTTTAATGAGCGTCCTACTCTTATGCATCGAGGGTAATTCTTATTTTAAAAGGAAATAGCAGTTAAATATATTTATGTGTAATTGTAATACAATTTTTCCGATACTTCTCATACTCTGTAGCTATAATGACAGAATAGAACTAAAAAATAGTTTGTTAATATTAAAGTCTATATTAAAATTGTACATTTTTTTTTATTTTAATTGCAAATTTTTCAAAATATGATGTGATAAAGAATTTAGAAATTGGAATCGTACTTAATGTAAAAATAATTATTAAAAATAAGAATTTATATTTTAATATTGAAAAAATTATTTTTTGTTAAACTGTGAAATATTAATATAAAAATTTTTGTAAAATTTTATATATGATACTTAAAATTTGTATAAGAAATTGTTAAACTTACCATTAATTCAGTTGATTATTATAAATTTCAGGCTTTCAATTAATTCTCACACTTTCTATACACAATACATTTGCTGCTATGAAACACATTCTTTTCATCATGGTGCTGCTGGTACAACTTTTTATCTATTGCTTCGCCGGGCAAACATTAGAGTCTCAATCGCAAGAACTTGCCTACGCTATCTATGAGACACCATGGTATAATGTTGATATAAATGTGATGAAAGATTTGCCATTGATGATACTTCGAGCAGCTAATCCTCATCGGTTGACTGCAGGAAAACTTCTAGCAATAAATTTCGAGAGTTTTAAAGAAATTCTGAAGGCTTCCGCCTCATATCTGTCTGTATTAAGGGTAATGTTGGACACGTGAGATATTTTAAAAATAAATATAAGGAGTTATTTTTATTTAATCGCGTATAACTAATTTGCTTTAAAAATAACTAATAAATCATTTTTTTAAACACAACTCTTGATAAATAAAATTGTTATTATAATATTACCTTTTGTACTGTACTCCGAGATTATTATAATCGCAATAAAATGGTCAAATAGAAAACTTTTAGAGAACGGATAGAGACAGATATAAGAATCCTGCTGAGATAAAAACTTAGGTAGATCTGTTATACAAATTATCATTATTTTATTGTGATTATTTGCAAGCATCGACAAATTAATAATAAATTATTGAAAATATTTAGTTATTTATACATTAAAGAAGATAAAAAAAGATTTTTTAATAAAAAAAAATATATACATTATATATCTTTAAACATTATTAGCATTATAAATAATATTGATCAGTTGTTTCGCAAATGTCAAACAACGAGGTTGTGCTAATATTTTCTGAAAAAAAAGAAAGAAAGAGAACATAAAAAATATATTATAATATAAAAAATATATAGTTGCACTTTGAAAATTTTCTTGCAATTGTTTATCGCTACTTCAAACAATTACGATAAGTCTAGTATATTATTTTATTTGTGATCGTTAATGAGTGTAGATAGTAAAACTATCGTCTTGACATTGAAAGTTGCACACATTAATAAGATGGGTGGATATATTACAAAAATATACTGTTACACAATTTTTTTCTGCCATTTATCTTATTGATTTAATTACCGATCGATGTGAGACGCAACGACAATATAGTAATTCCTCTCAAAATCATATATTACGTAGATGTAGTGCGACATTCTGTATAATTATAATTTTTTTGAGATCGAAATTAACCGTCGTGAAACATGAAGATACACTGAAACAGTGGTATAGACTATACCTTCTCAGCCATAAGAACAATGATGTGGATAAACAAAGTATGGCCACTGGAGCAGGCCACGATTTGCACAATTCGCTGGATTTTGACAGTCATTATACCGGTAAGTGAGGATAATGTAAAAAAAATTGCTTTTTTTTTAATGGAGAACAATGATGGTAAACATGCAAAGAATTTTATGTACAATTTTTTTCTATCGAAAATTAATAATAATATAATAATTCAACAATAACTCACTTTTTTATAGCTGATTTAAAATGTAAGAAAATTTCTCGAAAAAAGTTATATTTACATATATATATATATATATATATATATATATATATATATATACATATATGTTTAATTTTTTAAGAAATTATAAGTGTAATTTCTTCTCTCTTCTCTTACATTAAATTTTTGCAAACTATACAATTTAAACAAAATTCGACGATTTTATTATCAATAACTTTATACAATTTAATTTAACATATATTCCTTTATAAAGCAGTGAAGTAGTTGCTATCATATAGTTTCTCATAGTGACGATGATGCTGATGAAACTTTTTCAAGAACTGCGGTGATATTCAAGACAATTTGGAGTTTTTCCTTAATGTAGAGACTTGTATTCATTCGTGATTGAATGTCATTTTGGCGCATATCTACATGAAAAAATTTGCTCTTAACGTGAATTCTGCGATTAATAATTGGTCTTCGTCTACAGAGCAACCGTCTTATCTAATAATGATGAGATACGCACGATTAATTACAGTTTTACTCAACAATTAAAAGATGAAATTTTTAATATACTAGGCTTACAGAATTTTAATTAATTATTTTATTAAAAATTACAAATATAAGATTTTTATAATTGACATGAAGCTTAAATATCTTTTATTAATATGAATAAATAAAGTAAAAAATACGCATTAAAAAACATGTAGAAAAAATAACTCTGTAAAAGAAACAGGATCTTTTCAGGAATACATGCCGTTATATCGTTTAAACATCAGGACTATATTAAGCTAGCGAAAAATATGATGTATGTTCTATTTTTTATCATACAATCTTTCTTGTTTACGCATGCTGACGATACTTTGCGGAATCAAAATGAATCAATTGTTTCGGCGATATACGATTCAACATGGAACAAATTTTCGCCCACTGTAATGAAAAATTTAATACTCATTATGATGAGAGCAAAGATCCCTCTGCATCTCATTGTCAGTGCTAGACAATTTTTTTATATCATGCGGAGATCGATGACGGATATTTTTAAAACTACCTTGACATACGTATCGTTTTTGCAAACAATGGCAGAATAATTGTTTGACTGTCATTTATATGTATTATGTATTTACAATATTATAGCGATAACATATAGATAAAAAAGTAAAATAGGGAGAGATAAATTAATATAGAAAATATACTTATATTTCAATACATACAGTTTGCATTCTTCTGCAGCAAATTTATATTTTGTTCTTATTTCTTGAACATTTATATGACAAAATCAAGAATATTAATATCTTTCTCGTGCAAAAACGCGTGCATACTATTTTCTTCTCAAATAAGATGTAACAAAACTATAATTTTATGAATAGATATATAGTTATTAAAGTCATAGTTGAGTTATAATTTATCAAATATTTTTTTAAAGTTAAATATTTTTATAGATTAATTAATATTAATTATAAAATATTTACAATATAATCTGGTCTATAAAAATACTTATTTTTAATTTGTTAAGTTAAATATTTACATATAACAGCAAGATTATTGTACATTTTGTTAAATACTAACACACAGCTCGCGTCATTTATGTATTTCAGTTATTTTATTATTTTATTTTATTTATTAATTATTACAATATAATATACCAAAAATAATAAAGAGAAAAAATAATTAAAAATAAAAACTAATATATTTTTTTGCTATCCACTTTTCGAGGAAAGTAATATACAACGAAAGATTTAAATATCTGTCAAGTTATTATATATACATAGATAAATGTTAGAATATTAGAAAATTATTGTATAATTATTTTATTTTTAAATTATTATACGTATATTTATTATCCTTAATTTGTCCTCAATATATATCCAGAAAATGTAAAATTTTATTTTGAAGGTACTTACATTTTTATATGTATAGCTTATTAGTTTTGACGGCATTGATCACACAAACATATGTCAATATATTGGCATCGCAAATTATTGCACAAAAAACAGATGAAATGTCGTTTTATCGTCTATAGAAAAAAATATATGTTGAGCTAAAACTGTATTGCTACTTATATAATTCAAAATATAGAAAATTTCTGTTGAAAACCTAAAGTACATGCACTTATAGGCTTCTCTATATAGCTTTACTATATAACTTGAACTTTCAAAGTAATCCCTCTTTATATGTAAGTACGCATTACTTCAAAATTGAACGTACAGATAATATATACATACATCGCATACTGAATTTCTTGGAAAATTGATAAATTGTACGGTCTGCAAATTTTATCCGTCAGCATTTTTTCTGTACATTGTATTTGTAAAATTCAAGTAACATCGGAAGTTGTAAGGCAGTAATACGATAATCGAGCAATTTGCTGACCCACTCGCTCGACGGCTTAAAACATGCATATGCTTTGATGCACGTACGGTTCAATGCTGTTATGTTCTCGCGAAGATCGATAGTTTTAGGATAAGAGACAGCTAGGACACATGAGAAAGAATTCACGCTTTATAGTACTAACGACGTGACAGATCGATTGATGAAGACTATTAATGCTTAATTACATCGCTATACATGCTATTAAAGATGTACATCCACGAGATCAGTACAGAGTTATTCCGTGGTACACTTCGAAGATGGTGTATTGGAACAAGGATGCTGCTTATGCATTGTCAAGTTACAAAACTTTAGCATGGCCTGTAGGAGCATGGCCTATTGAGGATGATACTCTTTATTCAAAGCTGCGTTGGTTGTTTGCGATTGTAAGCGAGGTAATGAAAGAACATTTATCTTCATTTTGTATATTGCTTTTAAATTAATGATATAATCAACTATAATATTAATTAATATACATAATTGAAAGTAATGCAATTTTTTTTAATATGTAAATGTATTTTATGTCCTGCATATATACAATACATAATACATATCACTTTGTGCGAACTGCGAATAAGATAATATCTTTAATGCACTGTAAAATAAATAATTAAGAATTGATATAAAAAATAATAAAATAATTAATAATTAATTAATGAAAAAAAGAATGATAATTTTGTTAAGAAATGTTGAATATTTTTCTTAATACGCAAACGTAAGAATAAAAAAATTATTTTATATGACGCTTTTATCAGTTGCAATAATTCAATGAATTTATTTTCCAGATCTTGCTAGTGATAACACTTCTGATGGATGTCTATCTCGCCTGTGAGAATTCTTCCGGAGATCCGATTGATACTTATGTGGTGACCGCAAGTGCGATGCTGGTACTTGTCAAACTCACTCTGCTGCGGCTACAGCGATCCACGCTGTCGATCAATCTCATCTCCGCTATTCAGGACTGGTGCAGCGTCGAGGACGCGAAATCCCGCGGAATCATGATCGAGCACGCGCGTATGGCGAGAATAATATCATTGTCCCTGTTTTATTCCGGATTTTTCGCCTTTATGCTGTACATGTTGCGACTCTTGCCTGTCGTGACCTCTAATAAGAGGACATTTTATCTGCCGACGTCCTGTCTCTTCGAGTCTGTCACCAGTCTTCAGTACGTCCTCATTACGCTCTATCAGGTGGTTCAGTTGTTCATTACATATGCCGGTAACTGCTGTACGGAAGGTATTTTTGTCGGTATCACGATGCATCTCTGCGGGCAGCTTGAACTTTTAATGATCGACTTTCGGCAGATCGATCAGCGTAGACAGAAGTGCAAAGGGAACAACATCGTTGAGGAACTTGTTGTTAGACATCGACAATTGATAAGACTCACGGAGACTATTGAAGATACTTATAATATTATCATTTTGACTCAGATCTTTACCAGCGCTATTTTGATATGCATAACAGGTATGTACGACCACGAAGAATTTTTTTTATTATATTAATATTACAGAGAAAAACTTAGATTTAGACTTATTAATATAGTGTCAAAGTATATTGTAACATTTGACAAAAATATATTTTCATAAAGATACAAAATATCATAATTCTGAGTAAATCTTTTAATTATTATACCTATTATGTATAAAAAATTTGAAAACAAAAAAATATATTGTATATGTATGTATATGTTATTGTTTTTGTTTTTATATGTTTTATGCATAAAATAACAATTAGAAGATGTTTATTTTTAAAATTTGTTATAATTTTTTATTGTAAAGATTTTTATTATAATAACATTCTGTATCGTTAAGATACTGTAGTGAGTCATTTATAGTATAAATTAAAATTCAAGTTTCTATTTGCGAGTATTTATTCCTTTTCATCGCTTTACTAAGCAATATAAAAAAAAAATCAAAATGCGACAAACAAATTGTATCAGTTATTAGAAAGGATAAAAAGTAAATTTAAGCACGTCTGATTAAAATATTAAATATTGGAAACATTAGAAATAAAATTTTATTCTTTATTTTTTATATATTATGGATTAAGGCTATTAGCCGAAATAGCAATTTATGATAATTATAAACAGGAAAAAAATTAATAAAGAAATAAAATGTACTGATTTAAGGTTTTGGACTCATCGAATCACTGAATATTCACGACACAATCATGACAGTAAAAAGCATTGTAATAATGATCGTTATGTTGATGCAATCCTTTCTATATTCATATGCGGGCGATAATTTAAGGGATCAAAGCGAGGCTCTGTCCTTCGCGGTTTACGATAGTAATTGGTGCGATTTTTCAATCAACGAAATAAGAGATCTAACGTTCATTATGGTAAAAACAAATATACCTATTCGTCTTACCGCTGGGAAATTTTTCTACGTTACACGTGCTACATTTACGGATATCCTGAAGACCGCAGTATCCTACTTATCCGCTTTACGTGTTATGGTTGGGAAACAAGAAGAAAACAATTAAAATATTATATAGTTTAAACTTATCACCAAAAAGAATTTATCATTATTAGAAAAATGTTATATGTATATAAATAAACATCTCTGAAAAATTTCTTACAAAATCGTTTTCTGTAAGATAATACTTTTGCAATAAAATTCTCTAGAAATGGAAAATATTATAAAAAGTCATCTAATAAATATATAAGAACTTACGTTTGACACAAATAATCCTTTACTAATTTTTCAATTTATTGTATGATATAAAAAATTATTTATCTCCATATGTTCACAAAAATTAAAAAAATTAAAATTTATATTATTTAATAAAAAAAGATCAAAATGAAATAAAATGCAATATTGTCTGTGCATATACATATAACTGAAACAAACACAATTTTCTATGAAATATACTTACTAATAAGAAACCAATTCTCGATCTTCCTATTTTTTTCCCGATTCTTCAATGTTCTTCGATTGTGTCTTCGCGACGTAATATAATATACGTTACTACATAATTTTGTTTCTATGTTATAAAATTCTGCGATCGGGGTAAGGACCCTATGTCGGAAATGACATATGCCACGTGCTCTTATCATTAAGCTGTTGCATCAATGATATGCGTAGAGCTAGGTTTTTGCAAATTACGATGAGTAATCTATTCAGACTAGAGGGTTGGAAATAATACACGAATAGTCGGTAAAGGCTGCGTAGTAGTATAATATAATACATTCGGGGTGCATAGCAAAATGCACCTCGATTAATAATAAATGTACGCTGCGTCAGTTATTGCTCCTGGCTGCGCTCGATGATTCCGCAACCCTTAGCATGCAAGAATGGCGTCGTGCAAAATATGGAACAAGGAAATGGCTCATGAATTTTCTCTATATAGAAGGATAATGCTGCCACTTGGTTCGTGGCCATTGGATGAGAGCAATTTTGCAAAATTTCGTGTCCTGTTTCTCATAATCACACAGGTAACAATTTAACAATTTAACAATTTACATATAAGAAGTCCAAAACTATCTTTTCGTGATGATATAAAATATAAAGTTTTTTAAGCATAAAAAAGTAGTCTAATTCAATAATAATAAATGTGTGTAATAATTGGTATCGTCGCAGACAAATGTAACACATTTTTTAATGCAAATCGATAATTGTACTAACACATATTGATGTTATTATAATTTCTTTGACAATACTTTCATAATACTACAAAAGTGTTAAAAATAGATTTATTCTAATTTTGTTCCTTATTAATTATAAAATTTAATTTTTTTAAATAAAATGAGTTTATTAAATTATTTTTTACATAATTTTTATGTAACTAAATTTATTTTATATAAATTATTAAATCTTTTTAACAAATTTTGAATTTTAAAATAAAAATATATTTATAATTTTTGCTAAAATATATTATCTTATAAATACTTAAAAATTATATGTCTATAAACTATTTAATAATTATCTAACTAAACATTTATAATTAAATTAAATTCTTATTATAGAACCTTATTATAGAAAATTCTTTATATAGAACAAAATTATAGATAAAAATTGATTAAAATATCTTCATATATATTATCATCGATCAATTTATTTGCTAAAAGTTTTATAACTTGTTTTTAAACAAGATTAACGATATTTTGTAAGCGTTGCGTCTGAATTATTGTCTGTGATAAAAAATATAATAAATAAATTTTACATATTTGTTGGTAGACTATTATGGTGATCTATTTAATAATAAATATTGGTTACGACAAAGATGTCATGCTGAGTGTCATCGTCGACCACTTCGTACTGGCGACATGCGGCATTTTGACTATCATAAAGATAACGCTGATACGACTGCATCGTGATAATCTGCTGAAGAATTTATACAATGCAGCAAACAATTGGACATGCATCGTAAATCAGGATCATCGGCAGATTATGCTTTATTATACTAACTTGAGCAGACGCGTTTACTTCTTTCAGATGGGTTCCTCATACATTGTTATCCTTCCGTTGATAGCCGAATCTTTTTTATCTGTTGTGATGTCGCCTTCTTTACAGAATGCCACAAAATCCGAGAAACAGATACAATTGCCGCACGAAATGACTTGTCCGTCCAATGTGTCGATCGTTTGTTATGGCATGTATATTCTTCAGACTGTTCAGTTGATCAGCACAGCTACAGGGAATGTTGGCAGCGATGTTTTTCTCTTCGGTATTTGTATGCATCTCTGCGGTCAATTGGAGATACTCCACCTGGAATTATTGCGATTTCATAAAGAAAAGAAAATCAGAATAAAAATGATTGCATTGATCGAGCGACACTGCTTACTTCTAAATCTAGCCAAAAACATCGTTGGTGCACTGGATACCATCTTGGTAGCTCAACTGATTCTCCATGCTTCGCTTATATGTTTAATAGGTACATTTTAAATTATATATATATATATATATATAATATATTTTTTTCTTCATTATACTTATTTTATCTTTATAATCAAATAGTCAACAAAATTGTTTTAATAAAATTAATTTAATTATTATATACAAAGAATGTCAAATATTTTTCAGGATTGCAGCTTATCGTATCTTTGGCGATACATGATTTTTTTATTGTCGGGAGAAGTATAATGTCTTTCAATATATTAATGATACAAGTATTTTTGTACAGTTATATGGGAGAAACTTTGTCATCAAAAACGCAAGAGATCTCTCGTGCAGCTTATTTAAGCGAATGGTACGATTTACCTATGAATATTATGCGAGATTTATATTTTATAATAGCTCGTGCCAATGTACCTGTTTGCATAAGAGCGGGTAAATTTTATATTATAGATTTCAATAGTTTCAAAAATGTTTTGAAAGCATCAGTTTCTTATTTTTCCGTGATGCAAATCATGTTTATGCAATAATTGTTAAGAATATAAATATATATAAATTATACATTTGATTCAAATAAAATATATTTAATTTTATCTTTCGTTTTTTTTGTGTTTTTTATAAAAGTAAAAGAAAGATAAGAACTATATCTCACTTACTTGTTACACATCACCTTCGAACAAATAAATTCGTACCTAATATACAATTGTGGCATAACTATAATTGTAAGTCGAAATAAAACGTTATATGCACTCGAAATATAATACAGTGAATGAAAAATATAGGCAAACGTAACAAACTCTGTGACATTTCGCATACAATAAAAAATAGTTATTCTGTATCGATAACAATTTTGAAAAAAATAACCTGCGAATTCTTAGCCAATGATAATTCGACGTAAAACTTTATTGCAATATTTTCTATACTTTGTGATAATGCGCACGTTTAGAGCACGGAGGCGGACTGATAAGCGGGTTTACGTTTCAAGTTGAATAAAAAATGAGTCTGAATATAGACCTACTATCGCGTCGATATAGCGAACGGATCATTGGTTATCGGTATCAGTTACAGTCATTATCTAGACTCGATGGCAGGTGAACGATGGAAGGACGATATCGCGTACGCGATGACCCCGTTCAAATTGATCGCGTGGCCTATCGGCGTTTGGCCGCTGCAAGATTACAACTTCTATTCATTATTACGCAGTGTCCTGGGCACCTGCGGTGCGGTACGCATCTTTTGGATTCAAATAATCATTGATGCGCAGTTGTTCGAGGACGATGTAGAAACATTTCTATTACATTGCTCTTGCGAAGCAAAACTGCTGCTCTAAACAAGACCTTGGTGTCGCAATAAGAATTCCTCGTTCTTGACGACTTATATGGGGAATTTTTTCCCAGCATAATAAACAAATCGAGGGGGCACGATCGTAAGTCGGAAAACTCTAAGAAAGACTCTTTTCTTGCGTTTTATAATACATGTATGATTTCTTCTCAAATATCGTTCAAAGATCATTGTTTAAAGATAGGATAATTATTTTTGACAAACATTTTGCAGTAATAAATGTATATATATGCTACATTGTTTGTTTTAAAAATCCATTATGACTAACAATAATTGCGTGAAAAAGAAATAAATAATATGTTATAACGCCATATTTAATTAAATCATTAAATTATTTTTTGATTGAATTATTTGTTGAACTTCGTTTTATATTATATCGCTATTTATAAAATGCTTGTTTTAAATTGCAAATTTAAATTTATTATGTAAACAATTTTTATTACACGCATTTTTAATACACATATTCTTTTATTAATATTTATCTTCTTACTCCTTTAAAGTATACAACATAAATCTATATATATATATATATATATATATATATATATATATATATTCATACATATAATTATCTAATATTTTGCATCTATAACAAAATCAAAATTAAATGTAATTTAAATGCAACATTTTTTCTACATTACAGAAAACTAAGACACTTTCTTTATATTACGGCTTTTAGAAAAAGAAAGAGAGAGAAATAAATTATTATTAGCATTTTTAAAATATTAATAAAATTGTTTACTTAAATTTCAAACACATTTTGTCTGAATACAAAACGTTATATATGAAAAACCATCAACAGGGGCTAATGGTGCTTTTGCCTTTCATTGAACTATGCATGGGCCATACCGACGCGGAGGAGAATGTGGACTGCATCATGTTCATTTGTTGCGGAACGCTTGGTGTGCTAAAAATGATATGGTTCCGCATTTATGCAAACAGCTTAACTGACAATTACAACTCTGCTCTAAATGATTATCTGATGATTAAAAACGAGGAAGAACGTGCGATTATGAAAAAACATGCATATATAGGAAGGATGATCTCCTGTCCCATGCTATGCTTCTCTTATTTTAGTTGTATAATGTATGGGCTGATTCCTTTTTTTGGTGATAAAAGAAATGCAGTGCTCAATGTGACGAATGAGGACGCGATATTGAAGTATGCGTTACCATCAGGATACACTATGGAATACATTAACACTCCAGCAAGCATGTACAAAATTTTGTGTTTTATTCAAGTTGCTGCGATGATACTGTCGACTAATGCTAACATCGGTTTGTAGTTGGACGATTTTATTTATTCTTTTACTTCAGCTATATCAGTAAAATGTTGTAGAAAAATATTTACGGACCTCTTTATTCTTTGCATAAAAATATATAACGATATATAAAAAATATATCTTTTTAAATATAAAAAATATAGAACTATATATAAAATATATTATAAAATAAATAAAATATATATTAAATTTTATATTTATATATATAATTATATTTTTATAATATATATTAAATTTGAATTATAGATAATTATATATGTATATATTGAAAAAAAAACTAAAATTTATATCTTCTATTAGAAAAAATAATAATAGATTATTTTCTTTATGTTTGATACATATCTTTTAATTAAAAATAGGAGGAATATCAATATATTATTCCGTATTAATGCATTTTTCTCTTATAAAAAGGTAACGACGCATTGTTTCTCAATATCACATTGCATATTTGTGGTCAAGTAAAAATTCTGAGAGCTCATTTCATCAGATTTAATATTACAAGTCCGCGAGTTCGCGATCGTTTCAACGCGCTAATTCAAAGACATTGTTACCTGACAATGCTGACCAGAGAATTGGCCGATATGATCAGTTTCGTTTTATTAATAGAGCTATTTATTATTAGCATATTGTTATGTATAATGGGTAAATGTCACTTATAAGATAGTTTCGCGCGAAATATATAAATTACGTATGTTATAAAGAGAACTTTAAGTATATATTTAATAGATAAAAAATCTTTTCACAGGATTTCAGTTTATGCTAGCACTGAAAAGTAATGACACTGTTATGATGACAAAAAGTTTAATGGTACAGAGCGCCTTTCTAACACAACTAACGATGTATAGTTTTATCGGGAATTATCTAAAATCCGAGATGGAGGATATAAGATTTTCTATTTATCAAAGCAATTGGTATAATTTTCCTCCGAAACTGATGAAGAATTTAGTCTTTATTTTCATGCAGACAGAATCTCCAGTCATTTTACAAGCCGGAAATTTTATAACGATAAACTTATCAACATACATGAGTATCTTAAAATCTTCTTTTTCCTATCTATCTGTACTTCGTATAATGCTGGAAACGTGAAATATAATATGCGCGAATGAAGGAATTTTATACAAACTGTAAGTATATAGTATATACATTATGTACGTTAAAAAAAAAATTGATTAGATGAATAATTTGTCAAAAAAGATCTTAGTTATAATTACTATTTGCAGTAGCGTCTGTGCCAAATCAACCTTTTTCATGCAATATTATAAATGTAAATGTGCACTTGAAATTATTATTATTAATATTATACCATAAATAGAAGAAAAGAAATTTCTTAATATACAATTATTTACCCATAACGCCTCTGTCAGTTTGTTAATCTACAACGAGAAAATGTGAGTTACTGTATATTTTCACTTTTGGATAGATTAAACCATATTATTTAACCAAACGGATATCGAAATAAACTAAATTGTAGTGTAACATGTATATGTGAAAAAAAAGAAAATGTTCAGAATTTTCTTTTGATATTTTGTATGTTAGGAAAAAATAGTTGCTCGATGGGCGACAATTTAGAAAGCAGTTACATAAATTCTTATTTGACGATCATTTTGCATAGTTCTCTATATTTTGTTAATAATGTATCAATGCGTGAAGACAGTAAACGCATCCTAATAAGCGTGTATGCCTCGCATGCTCAATAAAAAATGAGTGCTAGTACTTGTGTCATGTCGATATAGCGAGCACATCATTGGATATTGGCATCAGTTATAGTCATTATCTCGATGGCAAGCGAAAGATGGAAGGAAGATATCGCATACGCGATAACCCCGTTCAAATTGATGGTCTGGCCCATCGGCGTTTGGCCACTGCAAGTTTATAACATTTATTCACTATTACGTAGTGTCTTCGGCATCTGTTTGACGGTATGCATCCTTTGAGTTTGAATACAGTGGTCACTAACGCGCGATCGTTTAAAGACGATATATAAAAGTTTCTACATTGATCTATTGTAATAACGTCTTATTGTTAGATAAAACTTTGGTGTCGCGATAGTAATATTCTTTCTTCGTTTATTTGACAACGTATATAACGAAATTAGCTTTTACTAACGATAACGCGACGTCGTAAAATATACATGAAAATACGATAATTTTATTTAAAAAATATCTAAAAAAATATTTTTCTTGAGTTTTATAATTTAAGTTTGTATTTTATTTCTCAGTTAAAATGTTTAAGAATAACACGACTCTTTGTTGAGAAATATTATAAACAGCATGTATTACACTATTCACGATTCTATTTGTCTTAACTATTTTTCTTAACGATAATATGACATATTCTCTACGATAATATGAATGTGTGATTATATGTATGTGAAAATTAAATTAAATGAATAATATGTTACGAAATTATAAATATTAGAGCTTATTAATTTTTTTTATATTTTTTGGTGCTAGATTATTTGTACATCTTTTATCACATATAATACTCTCTTAAAATAAATCAGTGAAAAAACCACCGATTGAATCGATAAAACAGTACATCACTTACAATCAGTCACTATTTCCTGATTTTCAGTGAAACTATCCCCATCATGTTAACATGGTGGGGATAGTTTCACTGAAAATCAGGAAATAGTGACCATGTTAACATGGTGGGGATAGTTTCACTGAAAATCAGGAAATAGTGACTAATTGTTAGTGATGTACTGTTTTATCGATTCAATCGGTGGTTTTTTCACTGATTTATTTTAAGAGAGTAATAACATTTAACTTTTTTCGATATTTTTATATTCAATTAACATGAAATTGTGTGAAGTATATGTACGTAAGTATATGTAAGTGATTAGCATTTTGAATCTAAAAAATCTGAAATTTATTATAGCATTATTTTTACATTATAGAGAGATTAAAACATTTTCTTTGCATCGAGTTCTTGAGAAAAAAGAAATAAAAAAGTAAAAGCGAGAAAGAGAAAAAGAGAAAAATTCATAATATACTGTGCATTTAAAAATAAATATTAGCAAAAATCTGTTAATTTAAAATCAATTTCTGAATATGAAACATTACATACAAGTAAACATATCAACAGGGCCTAGGTGTGATCCTACCTATTATTGAGTTATACATGGGCTGCACTAACGCGGAACAAAATGTGGACTGTCTCATGTTAATCTGTTGTGGAACGCTTGGTATACTAAAAATAATATGGTTCCGCATTTATGCAAATAATTTAATTAATAATTATAACTCTGCTCTAAACGATTACTTGACGATTGAAAATACGGAAGAGCGGGCCACTATGCGAAAACACGCTTTTATAGGGAGGATTATTTTTTGTCCTCTCATGTGTTTCAGTTACTTTAGTTGTTTAATGTATGCGCTAACGCCTTTTATGGATTTTGATAAAAAAAATCTAAATATAACAAAGGAAGACATCATATTGGAATATCCAATCCCGTCAAGATGCACTCTGGAGTACTTCCATGCTCCAACTAGCATGTACAAAATATTGGTCATTATCGAAGCTTTTGCATTGTTTATAATGTCTAATGCTAATGCCGGTAATATCTATTATTTAACGTTTTGGTGTATTTTAAATCTTTAGATAAAATTTAATTCACACTATGAAAATTTTAAATGCAAATTTATCTTATTTTATGTCTCATTAATTTTTTTACTAATCTTATTAATAAAGCATATCTTATTCCTCTTTTTTAAATAATCTTATTGTTTGCTCAAGAAAGTTTGTTGAAAAATTTTACGAATTTTTGTGACTTATATACATTATTTATTATAATAAAGGTATATAAATGTTTTTATTAAAAAATATATATGTATATTTTATTCATACATATATACAGGGTGTCCCATAATTCGCGAATCACCTTTTATGGGCAGATAGAGCGTGTTAAACTGAATAGAAAAGTCCTGTATCATTTTGCGATATTCGCAATAATTATTGAGTTATTAACTAAAATATCTCAACGAATGAGCGGATAGAAAGCGGTAGGCCGGACTCGGTGTGATGTCGGATGACTTATTTGTTATATGCCGCTTAGTATCAAAAGTATCATCTTACTTTTCGGCGCCACTACATTGGTCGCCGCTCGCTGTATGACGCCGCTTCTCGATCAAATAATGCTTTCTACCTGCTTATTCGTTTAGATATTTTAATAAATAACTCAATAATTATTGCGAATATCGCAAAATGATACATGAATTTTCTATTCAGTTTAACACGCTCTATCTGCCCATGAAAGGTGATTCGCGAATTATGGGACACCCTGTATAAACGGTTTTTTCATTATTTATATATATTTTTTTATAATAATATTGTGTATAAAAACGCTTGTTACAAAATATACGTTAAACAAGAAAAAAATTAGGAAAATAGAAAATATTTATAAAGAATGTATAAATAACAAGATAGATTAGATAAAAAAATGAAAATAAAAATAAAAATAAAATTAAAGTAAAATGGAGGCAATATATTATAATATATAATAAATATATTATAAAATGATTATCTGCTACATAATACATATTATCTAGTTACAATAGTAATAGTATATACACACATATGTATATCTAGTTATAATAATAATAGTATTAACACATCATTTTATATATCAATGTATTTTTAATTTATATAGGTAACGATGCGTTATTTCTCAACATTACGTTGCACATTTGTGGTCAAGTAAAAATTCTAAGGAACCATTTCGTTAAATTTGATATTACACGCTCGCAAGTCTATGATCGTTTTAATACTATAATTCAACGACATATTTATTTGATAAAAATGGCGAGAGAACTTGCCGATATGATAAATTTTATTTTATTAATTCAATTATTTTTTATCTCCATACTTTTATGTATAATGGGTAAACATTATATTATTTATAATTATTTCGTGAAATATTTAAATTATGTAGTAATAAAAAAATATTTACATTTAATATTTAATAGATAAATATATTCTTTTCAGGATTTCAGTTTCTCATAGCTTTAAAAATCAGAGATACCGCCATGATGACACAAAGTTTAATGGTACAAAGTGCTTTTTTGATGCAATTAATGATGTATAGCTTTATTGGAAATTATCTGAAAATTCAAATGGAAGAAATAGCATCTTCTATTTATCAAAGTGCCTGGTATGATTTTCCTACCAAAATAATAAAGAATATAATCTTCATCTTTATGCAAACAGAATCTCCAGTTACCTTTCAAGCTGGACATTTCATTACGGTAAATGTGTCAACTTTAATGAACATTTTAAAAACTTCTTTTTCATATTTGTCAGTACTTCGTATAATGCTTGAAACGTAAAATTTAACATGTTTAAATAAATTTTATAAATTGTAAATTTATGATATACGCACGCGCGCGTATGACAATAGAAACTACACAAAATAAATAATTTATAATATATTACACAGTCATTTCAATATTTTGAAAATATTTTTACAAACTATACATTTATAATACTTTTGGTATGCAATAGAAATAAATAAAATATATAATTTATTTAAATATCTTTTTAATAAAATTATAATTCCTATTTATAGTAATGGATCTATGCCAAATTAATCTTTGTTTATGCAATATAAAAAATGTACCTATTTTATACTTTATATTCATTTTATTATTATTATTTATTAATATTATTATTTATATTATAATTATTAATTATTATTATTATTATATTATAATGAAGAGAAATATTTTTTGATGCAATATTATATTTACCTATAATACATTTTCCTTTTTCAGTATATGTCAATTTTAATGACTTTCAATATAAAAAAGAAATTAGTTACTTGTTACGTATTTTTACTTTTATTTAATAGATTAAATGTATATATGCTACTTATTCTTAGCCAAACGAATATCGAAATAAGATATAATACAATGTGCGTGTAGGTATGTATAGAGGTAAGGAAAATTCACATAACTCGTTCTAATATTCCGCTCAACAAAAGACAGTTGTTCGAGAAACGATAATAATTTAGAAATTTGGTCATATAAATTTTTATTCAACGACAATTTTGCGTAAAAGCGTAGTTTGCGTTCTATATTTCGTGTAATGCCTTAAGAGTATAACAACAGACTGATGAACAACTGTATCTTTCATGTTGAATAATAAATCGAAATACCCCTGCATTGTACTTGATGTAATATCATCGATTATTTGCCTTGAGGAGCAAAAAAAAAGATAAACTAATAAGCAAATATACCTCTTATGTTATGTCCTCTATAAATAAAAAATAAGTAGTCGGAATACCTCCGTTGTATCGATAGGAAGCGGATTATTTAGATCTGTTATTTGGATCAGTTACAGTTGTTATTTCGACAATGACAAGTGAACAAAAAGAGAAAGATATCGCGTACGCGATGAACCCTTACAAATTGATTTCTTGGCCCGTTGGTATGTGGCCGCTGCAAGATTATAATTTTTATTCGCTAATACGTTGTATTCTTGGCGGTTCTTATGCGGTAAGTGTTTTTTAGAACTCATTGATACAGTCGTGATTATTCTTAGACAATAAAGAATATTATCTATAATAATAGAAGAATTATTATTGATATTGCAACGCTCTGGAGAAAATTTGTGTCGCGATAAGACTGTCAAGATTGTTACATCTTTAATTTTTGATAACGAATATAACGAACCACTTCTGTTAGTAATAACCGCTTCTGTTAGTAATACTTTAAATAAATTGTAAACGATTTTAAGTCATTGAAAAAATTTATCAGTAAAAAGGTTTTTTTTAAGTTTTATGTGCATTTTTCGTAATTATGTGTAAAAATAATATGACTATATATCTTTGAAAAATATTAAGGGGAGTATGTGCTAGCTACTTATTTCAAGATTCCATATGTGAAATAAATTAAATAAATAAATTCGTTATAAATTGTCACATAAATTTTAAATATAAATTTTATATGTTAGATTTTGTTGAATTTGTGTGTGTAGATGTAAAGAAATGTTCTATTCTTTCAAGTTTATTGTATATTAATATATATATATATATATATATATATATATATACACATATATATAATTTAATTTATATATTTTCTTATTATTTTATTATATTCAGAGAATATATAAAATAAAACTAAATATATACAAATATACAATTATATAAAACTTTGCATTAATAAACCAGTTTGAGAAATAGAATACTTTTTCATATTATATTTTATAAAGAGAGAGAAAGAGATAGAGAGAAAAAAATGAAGAAACGTGAGAGCGTAAAAAAATAAAGGTCACATTTTAATAAAAATATTAATTGTCAGTAACATAAATTCATCGAATTAGAAGTGAGACATTTTTCTAAGCACAAAACATCATGGGAAAACGTATCAACAGAGCTTAATCCTGATGGTGCCTTGCATGGAGCTATATATGACCAGAGGGCATATAGATACCATAGAACAGAGCACAGACAGTCTGATGTTAATGTTGTGTGGAATAATCGGTATGTCGAAGATAATAATATTCCGCAGAAATGCTAATATTTTTATTAAAATTTACAAATCTGCTGTAAACGATTATTTAACGATTGACAACGCAAAAGAAAGGGCCATTATGCGAAAACATGCTTATATAGGGAGGCTTGTTTTTTTTCCTGTACTAGCTTTTAGCTATATATATGTGTTTAATAATATGGTAAAATGTTTACTACACGCTTCAATGGTTTATGATGAAACAAATCAAAATATAACGAACAAGGACATCTTCTTGGAATATCCGATGCCATCAAGACACATTATAGAATATTTTCATGCAAAAAGCATGTACAAAACTTTCATCGTTATCGAATCTATTATAGTAGCGCTATCCTGTAATTCTAATGTTGGTAATATCTGTTGTTTTATATTTTTACGCATCTTTAGGCTTTAGATAAAATATGTAAAAATTTTAAAGGCAAGCCTATATTATTTTATACTTTATCAATTTTTTTACTAATCTCATTTTATATATATATATATATATATATATATATATATATATATATAATAAGGTATATTTTAAGCAATATTTTATCTCCCTTTTTATTTGTTGTAGATAACTTTTATTTGTTATAGATAATTAAAATGCGGAAGTTCGTATGATTTCACATAATAAGCTGTATTATTGAGATTTAGATGTACTTAAAGCTGACTATAGCTTTCTCGAAAATAGAATATATGAAAAATATGTTTTAATTAAAAATTTGGAAGAGTTAAAAAAGTTATGCACGTAAATAATGTCATTACTTGCTTAAGAACTGTGAAATTTTACGAAATTTTGTTATCTGAATTATTTATTATAATAAAATTATTTATTATTATTTTTATTATAATTTCATTTTTAATGATTATTTATTATAATCAAGTCATTTATTAAATATAATTATATAAAAATATTTAAAGAAATGCTGTTGATTCAATTAAACATCGACGTTACGGGCTGTCATCAACATATGCAGTTGATTCATCAGCATTTTGTTAATTCAATGACATTATTAATCAAATCAAGATGTCATGCTTTTGTTTATACTGATATACTGATGAATCAACTGCATATGTTGATGGCAGCCCGTGACGTCACGTTTAATTGAATCAACAGCATTTTTTTTCTCAGTGTATATATAAATATTTATTACATAATAATATTATAAATACGTAATAATATTTATAGTATTATACAAAATATACATACAAAAAGAATATAATATTATAATATAAAAATTATAAAAATAAAATTAAAGAAAAATGAGGTTAAAATAGAGGCAATATATTGTATTATAAAATAATTATCTGCTACATGATAATTTATTATAAAAATATTAATATCGATTTATATGTATTTTTATTTTATAAAGGTAACGATTTCTTATTTCTAAATATTACATTGCACATTTGTGGCCAAATAAAAATTCTAAGGGCTAAGTTTACTAATTTTGATGTCACACTCCCAAAAGTCTATGATCGTTTTAATGCATTGATTGAACGACAAAATTACTTAATAAAAATGACCAGAGAACTTGCCGAGCTAATTAGTTTCATTTTATTGGTGCAGTTCTCTTTTACTAGTTTACTTATATGTGTAATGGGTAATTATTTTAACACTTGTATTATATTACCAACACATTTTTAAAAAAAGATTAACATTTAACAGAAAAATATTTTTTTCAGGATTTCAGGTCATATTTGCGTTGAAAGTTAATAATACTGTTATGGTATTAAAGAGTTTAATGGTAGTGAATGCCTTATTGACACAATGTACAATGTTTTGTTTTATCGGAAATTATCTAAAATCTGAAATGGAAGATATAGGGTCTTCTGTTTATCTAAGTGCTTGGTATAAATTACCTAGCAAATTAACAAAAAACATAATATTTATTCTTATGCAGACAAAATGTCCAGTTTCGTATCAGGCTGGAAATTTCATCGCAGTCAATATAGCAACTTGTGTGAGCATTTTAAAAACTTCTTTTTCGTATCTGTCTGTACTTCGTATAATGATTAAAGTATGAAATTTAACATATTTAAATCAACTATACAAATTGTAAATTTATAATTCGCGTGCAAAATAGAAATAAATAAAAATATATAATAGAAATATAAATAAAATATATAAAATAAAAATATAATAAAATATATAGTTTATTCATATGTCTTACCAATAAAATTGTTAATTATAATTGCTGTACACAATCGTGGGTCTGTGCCAAATTTTTATACAATATCAGAAACATACTTGAAATTATAGTAAATTGCATTTTCAATTAAAACACTCTTGACTTTGATATATATTATCAAAATCACCATCTTGAATAATATTTAAAAAGTTTTAATTATTGCTTATTATAAAGTTATTCATAAATAAAAATATGTGTTTGTGTGCAAAGTGAGATTCAAACATAGTTTAAGTTTAAAAGATTAAATATTCATGGACAGATTAAATATTCATTATATTACTATGTATATGCGCGCGCTTAAATACATTTGTATTTTTATACATAAATTTTTATATAAAACGTTCAGTTGTAATTAAAAATGTCAAAAATTAAAAAGTGAATACATAGACTAAAGGATAAGGCTCTACAGGCTTGCAATTTTCTGCACGAAGTAAAATTTACTTCAATTGCTTTTAATGCGAAATGAGATTTATAATTTATGGTTCCATATGAAATTAGTAACTTTTCGCGTAAATGAAGTAGTCTAATATTGCTCGATACTTTCAAAACAAAAGTTATATAATCTCTTTCTAAAAAGTCGATTATCGCAAATATTGTTGCTGCTTTCTCGCGATGCTGATTAGTTGTCTCAATTAACATTGTGTGTTATATTAATAACATCAAACAACTGCCATTGTGAAGGTTAATAGGTTGACAGTTAAAATAAATAATAGTAAAATAAAAGTAAGTAAAATAAAAATAAAATAATATTAATAATGCGAGCGAAGCACGCGCTTGTTGTCTGGTATATAACAAAAATTCAGAAATTAAAAGTATATACATAATAAAAATTTGGCAAATTAAAATTATGTACAATGTACGTAATAGACATTCGAGAATTAAAATTAAAATATAAAATATATAATAGAATATAAAATTAAAATATAACTGTTTAATACAATATACTGTAGCATCATTTATTCACTTGTATTATTTTTTAATGAAAATTATTGAATTATAGTTCTCAAATTTGTATTAGTATTCTACTATCTAGTTTACTATACTAACAATAATTTGCTATTATCATAATTAAATTTGATAACAAAACTGAATTTAATTTATGAGTCGACACAATTACTTTTACTTGTGACTTCCTATTGTATTAAAATCACAAATCTGCTTACTACAAATACTATAAATCTGCTTACTATAAATACTACATTTATGTAGTATATATATACATCATTTCGTTTAATCTAACCAAATATAATTGCACACGCAAAGCGAAGTTATATTATTCTTTGATAATAAAATCTCAAAAATTGCGACGCATGCATGCAAAAATTATTTATGCAATTAATACATAAAAATATATTAATTAATTATGTAACGCATAAAAATTCAATATTTAAATCTTTAACAGAAAATACGAATGAACAAATAAAATATTCTACAAGAATCTTTTGTGATCAAATATCTACACTTTCATTAGACTCGCGCGAAACTCTATACCCCCTACATCTATCACGCTGCGCGATTCGCGCGAGACTGATTCTCGTGCGAGGTATCGCAAGCGCGGGACCGATGGTCACATGATCAGTGGTCACATGACCAGTGGCGCGGAACTGATGGTCACATGACCACTGATCATGTGACCATCGGTCCCGCGCTCGCGATACCCCGCACGAAAATCAGTCTCGTGCGAGCCGCGCACCTTAATGGATATGTGGGATGTACTAATCTGATTACATGATCAGTTTCGCGCGAGCCGTGTAGCGTAATGGACGCGTACAGACGCGCGAATCTAATGGAAGCGGAGATATTTTGATCGAAAGATTCTTGTAGAAAATTTTATTTTTTGTTTTTGTTAAAAATGTATATATTGAATTTTTATGATTCACATAATTAACAAATATATTTCTATGCATGCATTGCAATAATAATGTTATATATGCGTTGCAATTTGTTAAAGTTTTATCAAAGAATAATATAACTTCGCACGTAATTACGTAATATATCGAATATAATTATATTCGATTAAACTAAACGAAATGAGAAACAAATATATAAAGAGATACAAAATAGTTCTCAAACAATACAATAGAAATTTGGCGAATTAAAATTATATATATAATAGAAATTCGGCGAATTAAAATTATCTACATAATGGAAATTCGGCGAATTAAAATTATGGTCATAGCATCAAGTAACTGTTATTGCAAAGATTAACAATTTGACAGTTGTAAAATAAACAATAGAAATGATATCAAAGGAGCGCGCAAAGTGCGTGCTTCTTGTTGAAAGTATTAAGTAATTTAGTCCTAACATGAAAATAAATTTTATTTTGCATGAAACTTTTAACACTTTGAATACTGTATATAAGATTTGTGTACCTGTATTCAAGTGTGTAGCAATACTTATAAACTATTTCAGACATCGAATCTTTCATTGAAGCTTTGCATATATTTTTATTTGTAATTTCTTAATAAACAATAAGAGAGAACGACAGTTAAAACTTTTTAAAAATTACTCAAGATCGTAACTCTAACAACATAAAATCGAAATCAAGGTATACATATATATATATAATATATATATATATATATATATATATATATATATATGCATATTATTGTAAAGTAAATATATTTAAAAATTGTCATGATTAAATTATTATATTATAGCGGAGAAATAAAATTATCTAACAATATTATAACAATACGTCTCACCTATATTGCATTATATTTTCTCAGTATACCAACTGTGATGACCTGCAACATAAGAAAAGAATGAGTTACTCGGTACTACTATGTATTTTCACTTTGGACAGATTGAAATCATACTATTTAATCAATGGATATCGAGATGAAATAAAATGTAGTATAGATATGTATGTGATATGAATAAAAACGCACATGCAATTTTTCATTTCACGCAGTAAAAAGGAAAATAGTTACCCGATAGACGACAATTTAGAAACTGTCATATATAAATTCAACGACAATTTTGCATAAAAATGTAGTTTGCATCTACATTTCATAATGCTTCAAGAGTATAGAAGCAGACTGATAAGCATGTATACCTTACATATTGAATAAAAAATGAATCGAAATACCTGGGTTTTTTCGATACCATCATCGATTATTTGACTACAGCAGCATAAAGATAGACTGATAAGAAAATATATCTTATGTGCAATGTGTCCCCATAAATAAAAAATAAGTCAGAATACTAGTCGATATAGGGAGAGATCATCGCCCATTGGCATCAGTTATAGTCATTATCTCGACAATGGCAAATGAACGATGGAAGGACGATATCGCATACGCAATGACCCCTTTCAAATTGATCACGTGGCCTATCGGAGTATGGCCACTTCAAGTTTATAACATTTATTCTTTATTACGTTGTGTCTTAGGCACTTGTTGTGCGGTACGTATTTTTTAGAACTCGTTGAGTGACACGATCGCGAACGTTCGAAGACAACATAGAATATTTTCTACATCGGAGAAAAATTTGGTGTCATGATAAAAATGTCAATATTTTATATTTTCAATTCTTGATAACGTATATGTAGTAAAACGCTTTTGCCAATAATTAACCTAACACTTTAGATGAGTTATAAATCAAGATACTTGTAAATCGTTGACAAATTTTAACACAAAAGAAAAATTTTAAGTTTTACGATTTATATATACTTATGCTTAATTATAAGTAAAAAAATATAATCGTTTTCGAAAAATATTATGCAAAATATGCTACACTATTTATTTTATGATGTCATTATAACAATTGTATGTGTAATATATTAGATAAAAATAATACGTTATAAAATGAATTATGTATTATAAAATGAATTAATTTTGTTAAATTTTATTAAATTCTTTTGTGTTTCATATTTTAAAATATAAAAAAAAATGTTTACTTATACAAGTTTATTACACATTTTTTATTTTAATTATATATGTTTTTCTGGTATTTTCATACATTCAGAGATCACATAAAATGAAATATTATATTATACTTTGCATTTATTGATAAAATTTAAAAAAATTTTATATTGCAATTTATAAAGCGAAAGAAAAAGAAAAAGAGAAAGAGAAAAAAAAGAAAGAGAGAGAAAAAATTAAGAGAAAAGGGGAGAGAGAAGAAATGTGAGAGTGTGAGAAAGTAAAATTCGTGTTTCAAAAATATATTTATTTGTACAAATTCATTGAGTTAGCAATGAAACATGTTTTTCTAAGCACAAAATATCATGGGGAAACATATCAACAGAGCCTAGTCGTGATCTTGTCCTTCATGGAAATATATCTGGGCTGTACTGACGTTGAACAGAACATAGACTGTCTGATGTTAATTTGTTGCGGAGTGCTCGGTGTGTTGAAGACGACACGATTCCGCATATATGCAAATAGCTTAATTAATAATTACAAATCTGCTCTGAACGATTATTTAACGATTGTCAACAGAAAAGAGCGTGATATTATGCGAAAACATGCTTTTATAGGAAGATATCTTTGCTGTTCTATGTTGTGCTTTTCTTACTTTAGCTGTCTAATATATGCAATAATTCCTTTGATGAATTATGACCAAGGTAATCGGAATGTAACAGACGAAGATACGATATTGATGTATACAGTACCATCAAGATGTACTCTGGAATATTTTAAATTTCCAAAGAGCATATATAGAATCACCATACTCATCGAAGAATTTATAATGATACTGACAACTACTGCTAATCTAGGTAATATTTATCTAATTTTTTAAATTTATTTTATGTCTTATTCGTATCATTCAAAAACAAGAAATCTTTTGCTTAAAAGTACATTTATTTAAGTATACATATTATTCAACATATATATAGTTTTTCATTAATTATATTAATATTAGAAACTTCTTTATTAATTATAAACAATACATATATTGCAAGGTGCAAAAGTTTGTAAGGTTTCACGATAATTTGATCCATTGAGATAATCCGAGATAGAAAGATCGCCTAGTTCCTTTTAATCTACCTAATTCTTTTTAGCAGACATATTAGATTATTAGATTAATGTGAAAGCTATTTTCTATTAAAAAACGTAAGCAAATATAATTACAAATGATGGTTTCAACATGTCTCATTATTGCTACTTTAAAAAAATATTTAAAAATTTTGAAAACTTTAGCGCCTTATGCAGTGTATATTATGTTAAATAGGTATATATTACACACATATTTGCTATCTTTTATAATTATATTTTGACTATATTTTTTATTACAAAAATTATAATTTAATGACAATAGTATAATAAATATTGTTCTATATATCAATGCAATAAAGTGGTTCCGTGCATTAATGCATTTCCCAAAGGTAACGACGCGTTGTTTCTCAACATTACATTGCATGTTTGTGGTCAAGTAAATATTCTGAGAATCAATTTCACCAATTTTGATGTTACAAGTCCGCAAAAATACAAGCGTTTTAATACGCTAATTCAAAGACATCAATACCTGATAAGGCTAGCCAGAGAACTAGCTGATTTAATTAGTTTCATATTATTGATAGAATTATTTATTATCAGCATATTATTGTGTATAATGGGTGAATATTATATCTTATGATTGTTTAACGAAATATCTAATATTACTATTACATATTATATAACATTTAGCAAAAAAATATTTTTTCAGGATTTCAGTTCACCCTCGCGTTGAAAGTCAATGACACCTTTATGGTCGGAAAGAGTTTAATGGTACTGAGTGCCTTCCTGTCACAACTAACGCTATATAGTGTAATTGGAAATTATCTGAGATCAGAAATGGAAGAAATAGGGCTCTCTATTTATCAAAGTACTTGGTATAGTTATCCTAAAGAAATAACAAAAAACGTAATCTATATTCTTATGCAGACAAAATCTCCAATTGCATTGGAGGCTGGAAAATTTGTCATAGTCAATTTATCAACTTATATGAGTATTTTAAAAACCTCATTTTCTTATTTGTCTGTACTTCGTATAATGCTCGAAGTATAAAATATAAGATGCAAATAAAAAAAATCTACAATTATAAATATTTGATAAGTTTGAAATAGCACGATGTTCTTTTACAATTAAGAATGCATAAAGTTTATTAAGAAATCACATTATATATACGTCATATACGTTAATAAACTTATTCTCTACAATAGTTTATTTGTGGTAAATTAATTCTTTTTACATATTCATTACACATATATACTAAATTACTATTAATTCATATAGTTATATTGAATTTGAGAGTAAGTATTACTCGATCACTTTTATCGCGTAAAACTCTATTAAATAATTTTAATGACCTGTAAAATAAAAAATAGTTATTTGATATATATTTTTACTTTCGAACAGACAGAATTTATATTATTTAGCCAGAAAAAATAGAGACAAAGAGATATATAAAATATCGACAATACACATATAGCGATAGAAAACCATGGACAGTTCTGTAAACATCTATCACAATAAAAAAGAATAGTTCAACGGATGGCAACTTATTGTTAAAGAACTTTGTCACATAAATTTTTATTCAGCAACACAATATTGCATAAAAGCATAATTCTCTATATTTTGTCATAAAGCATTAAGAGCATAAGGGCAAATCAATAAACAGGTATACATCTCAAATTAAATAAAAAATGAGTCGGAATATCTTCGTATTATCCAGCTTGAAATATAATATAACATGTAATGAAAGAATTTTATAATTAAAAACGTATGTTTCGGAACTGCTCTAAGGTATATGGGAATTTGTAGAAGCAAGAATTTATTACTATATGATTTTAATAAAACAGCTAATGATAATTAACCAATACGATCATCCATTTGTGTTAAATTTTTTTATGTAATATCAAAACTATATACATTCTGTGAAAAAGCATGCTATTTTCAATGCATATATAAAAAGAGGTAAATTCATACTTTTTATAAGATGTGTTTTCATTTAGTGTTTACTTCTTATTTTTACAATAAAAACTTATTTTTACTTTTAAAGTTGTATCTAGATTAAGATGATTGTAATAAATCACTGTATTTTGTTACTACAATTTAAATATATTAATTATTTATTACTCCAACTTTTATGATTAGTACGATGTCACTACGATTATTAGCATTGATGTCACTTATTTTATTGTTAGCTTATAACATTAATTGAAATTCAAAAACGCAATTAAAACCAAACACTAAAATCACATTTATAAACACATATATAAACGAATATTTCGACTTTGTATATTAATCACACATTATGAGTTTTTAATTCTATATCTTTATATTTACAATACTTTTATTGCTGAGATGCACATTTGCCGTGTCATACTGTTTACGTGACCTTTTCTCTACTGCAACCCATCGAGACACTTTTTCTACTCTATACGCTTGCGCTGCGCCTACGGGACAATGGAAGGTAATATAACAGTATATGCATATATAGACATGTACCTATTCATTATCTTCTCTTATTTCATATATTTATTGTGTTATAATTTAAGAATTCCAGTATAAAATTAATAAAATATAAAAGCAATGTGTTATTTACCATATAATCTGTGAAATATTTATCTTTAATTTAAAAAAAAATAATAAATTAATAACAATAGTAAATATTGTTTTGTGTATCAATGCAACAAGACAATTTTATGTGCATTAATGTATATGTGAAGAAAAATGACGCACTGTTTTCGAATATTATATGCTTATGGTCAAAATATTCTGGGAATCCATTTTTATCGATTTTAATGTTACAATAAGTTCGCGAATCTGATTGTTTTCAAAAACATTATTACCTCAAAATTTTAATCAAAAGGAATTTAAGACAATCTAATCAGTTTCGTATTGTTGATGAAACTATATATTCACATATTATGATGTACAATGAAAATTAAGTCACTTGTAATTATTTCATTTAAACATAATTACGTATTTGTAAAATAAAGATTTATCTTCGGCAGACAAATATTCTTTTTAGAAATTCAACTCAGCTTTGCTAAAAGTCAATGACGCTGTTAATAGGAAAAAATTAGTTATACTGTATAGTTTTAACAGAAATTATCTGAAATCTGAAATAAAAGAAATAGAATTCCCTATTTATTAAAGTACTGGATACAATTTTCCCAAAAAATTGACAAGAAACGTAATCTTTATTCTTATGCAGACAAAACTTCTAGTTCGCGTTACAAGCGAGAAATGTTATCGATAGTTAAGTTTGTGTGTGTTAACTTAAAAGCATTTTAAAATTTATTTATTATATTTGTCTGTACTTTGTGTTCAAAGTGTGAAATATAAAATGCAAGCAAAAGAAATCCGCAAATTATAAATATTTGATACATACTTTCGAAATAGCACAATATAATGCTTGTCCCCAAAATAGGAATTCAAAGAAGAAATATTGATCAAAAAGTCATGTTGATAAACTTATTACTCACTTGTGTTTATTTATGGCAAATTAATTATTTCTATATAATATCAATAATATACACACTCGAAATTAATATTAATGCATTATTATATTTAATTCAAAAGTATACATATTCTAACATATAAAATTATTGTCACTATTATATATCGTGTAATTCTTTATCAATCAATTTTAATGTCTTGTAAAATAAAGAAGTAAGTTATTTGCTACATATTTTCACTTTTGTACAGATTGAATTCATATTATTTTGCTGAGAAAAAATTAAAATAAAGTAAAATAGAAGTTGCGCGTACACAGGATAGCGAGCGAAACACGCACAGTTCTCTTGAACAGTTCTGACACTAAAAAAGAAATATAGTTGCTCGATGGACGACAACTTGAGAGAGTATTAGATATATACATTTTTATTCTGCAACACAATGTTGCATAATTCTCTATATTTTGTCATAATGCGTTAAGAGTATAAGGACAGGCTGATAAGCGGATATACGTCGCCAGCTGAATAAAAAATAAGTCGGAATACATTCGTCTTATCGAGTATCTTGGTTATTGGCATCAGTAACAATCATTATTTCGACTCGATGGCAAACGAACAATGGAAGAACGATATCGCATACGCGATGACCCCTTTCAAATTATTAACGTGGCCCATCGGCGTCTGGCCACTTCAAGTTTATAACATCTATTCACTAATACGATGTATTTTAGCCACTTGTTGCATGGTATACATCTTTTGAATCTGATCCTAACAATTTTTGTAACGCGATCTCTCTCTCGAGTTTGAGGATACAAACAGAGCATCTTTTACATTGAGTACTATAATACTTCAAACAAAATTTTGTTCTCGCTTTGAAAACATCAAATGTTCAAATTTTTGGACTAAAAACATCCTGATATTCACGATGTGATAAATTGTATAAATGACACAGTCATAAGCTAATTGTGATTTGTTTAACAAAAATGTTTCTTTAAAGTCTTATTCTATTTTTAAGTTTGACATATAATATATCATATATTTTATGATTTTTTTTATTGGAGATTAATGACATATTGTTATAACATCCTTTTGACAATTTATATTATATATTATAAAAGAAAAAAACTGTATAAAAGACGACACAAATTTTTATTAATCAAATTCGTCTAATGTAATTTTTGAGAGTTAATTATTAAAGATTTAATTCATTAACTCTTTAATATTACATTTAATTTTATATTTATATATAAAAAAAATTAACGTGTTTATAATTTTTATTATTTAATACATTAATCACATTTGTTTTATTTTTTATGTACATATTGATTCAAATTATATAAGAAAATAAGAAGATTAAATCTCCAGACATAATTATTTAATTTTTTATTAATTTATCAAATTCTAATGTTTTCTATATTACAATAATATAATAACATAGAGAAGCCTTATAAAGTTTAAAATAAAATTTATTTATAAATAAATATAACTATTTGGAAAAGTTCGATAATCTGTGTGTGTGGATTTGGGCTGCATTTTTTAAGACATAAAATAATAATTCAAATAAAAAAATTATATCGCTTACGCATATCAACAGAGCATAATAGTAATCTTACCTACAATGGAAATTCACATGGGCTGCACTGATGCGGAGCAGAATATTGACAGCATTATGTTGATCTTCTGTGGTGTACTAGGTGTACTGAAGACAATATGTTTTCGCATTTATGCAAAAAATTTAACTAGTAATTACGGCTCAGCTCGGAATGATTACTTGACAATTGAAAATGCAGACTATCGTGCCATCATGCGAAGATATGCTTTTGTCGGAAGGATACTCTCCTGTTTTATGGTCTGCTTCTCTTACTTTAGCGTAATGATATATTCGCTAATTCCTCTGCTGGGTGATGACAAAGATAACCAAATGAATATAACGGATGAGGATGTTGTGCTGGAATATCCGATGCCATCAAGATGCGCGTTAGAGTATTTTGGCATCCCGGAGAGCATGTATCAAATTATTTGTCTCTTCGAATTTATCGTGCTAATACTTACGTGTACTTGTAATCATGGTAACATCTGTTTACTCTTGCATTGTTCTTCTTGCATTTTTCATTTCACTTATAACAACACTTAGAGAGTATATATCAGAATTTTTATAATGTTAAAATAATTACTTCTTTTAAAATAACAATTTTATATAACATAATTTTTTATCGATATAAAAATTATATAAAAATGAAAACTAATATAAATATCAACATATACTTACAAAAACTAATATAAAAATATACTTCTTATACAAAAATAATAATATAAACAATATGTGAGAGAGAATATATTTTTTTAATTACATAGTTGTGAGATAATGATAATTGAATTTTTCTCAGTATAATTTTCTTTTTGTAAAGGTAACGACTCTCTATTTCTCAACATTACATTACACGTGTGTGGACAAGTGAAAATTTTGAAAGCCAGTTTTATCGATTTTGATGTTTCAAGTTCGCAAGTTAACGACCGTTTTAATGCTTTAATTCAAAGGAATAGCTATCTGATAAAAATGGCTAAAGAGTTGGCCAATGCAATCAGTTTCGTTTTGTTGATGCAGTTATTTCTTAGCAGCATTCTGTTATGTATAATGGGTAAATATCATACTACTTATAATAGATTCATAAAACAATAGATTATATAAATTACCCAGATAGCCACAGTAATTATTATGACATCATTTTGATGGCAAATGATGAATTTTGACATCAAAATGATGTCATAATAATTACTGTAACTATCTGGGTACATATTACATCAGAAAGAGAGAAAGAAAATTTACATATATTAAACATGTATTATAGTTTAAACAAAAATACTTTTTTCAGGATTTCAATTTATCTTAGCGTTAAAAATGAACGATGCTGTTATGATGGGGAAAAGCTTCATGGTATTATGTACTTTTTTGACGCAACTGTCAGTGTATAGTTTCGTCGGAGATTACTTGAAATCTCAAATGGAAGAAATTGGACTTTTCATTTATCAGAGCATTTGGTACGATCTTCCTGTCAACTTGACTAAAAATATAATCTTCATCATTATGCGGTCACAATCTCCCGTCAAGCTGCAAGCTGGAAATTTTATTGTGGTAAACCTAGCAACTTATATGAGTATCTTGAAAACCTCCATTTCGTATTTATCCGTACTTCGCGTAATGGTAGAAACGTGAAATATAAAATAATATATATAATGAAAAAATTTTATAAATTGAAAACTTATGTTTCGGAACTGTATTAAGATATATAGGAATCTGTAGAAGCAAGAATTTATCGCAATATGATTTTAATAAAACAGCTAATGATAATTATCCAATACGATTATCCATTTGTGCCAAATCTTTTTATGTAATATTAAAACTATAAACATTCTTTGAAAAAGCGTGCTGTTTTTAATGCATATAAACAGAGTTAAATTTATACTTTTTATAAGAAGTGTTTTCACTTAGTGTTTACTTCCTTATACTTTCACACTAACAACTTATTTTTAGTTTTAAAATTGTATCTAGATTAAGATGATTGTAATATATCACTGTATTTTGTTACTACAATTCAAATATATTAATTATTCATTACTTCAACTTTTATAATAACTATACAATGTCACGATGTCACTACGATTATTAGCATCGATGTCACTTATTGTTAGCTTATCACATCAAATAAAATTCAAAACCGTAACGCAATTAAAAACACTAAAATTATATTTATAAACACATGTATAAACAAATATTTCGATTTTGTATATTAATCCCGTGAAAAAACTTTTTATATATAACAATATAAAATCATATATATATAGAAATATATAAAATTATACATATAATCGCAAAATTATATATAAATATGTAAATTATATATATAATTATATATAAATATGTCCATATATAATTAGATAAAAGTTCTTTTTATATATAATTATATAAACTTATATAATATAATAAATATTTGTTTTCATACATATAAATATATGTTTTATATGTAATTTGACATATAATTATATATAAACACTTATAATTTATATATATAAATTTACATAATTATATATAAAAATGGACATATTTCACATATAATTATATATAAAAAATTTTTCCCGGGATTATGGCATTTGTAAATCTATATCTTTATATATACAATACTTTCACTACTGCGATGCACATCTTTCGCGTCATACTGTTTACGCAACCTTTTCTCTACTGCAACCCTTCGAAACTCTATTTCCACTCTATACGCTTGCGCTGCGCCTACGGGACAATGGAAGATAACATAATAGTATATACAGGGTGTCCCATAATTCGCGAATCACCTTTCATGGGCAGATAGAGCGTGTTAAACTGAATAGAAAAGTCCTGTATCATTTCGCGCGCGATATTTGCAATAATTATTGAGTTATTAACTAAAATATCTAAACGAATGAGAGGGTAGAAAGCGATAGGCCGGACTCGGTGTGCATGTCGGATAATTTATTTGTTATATGCCGCTTAGTATCAAAAGTATCATCTTACTTTTCGGCGCCACTACATTGGTCGCCGCTCGCTGCATGACGCCGCCTCTCGATCAAATAATGCTTTCTACCTGCTTATTCGTTTAGATATTTTAATAAATAACTCAATAATTATTGCGAATATCGCAAAATGATACATGATTTTTCTATTCAGTTTAACACGCTCTATCTGCCTATGAAAGGTGATTTGCGAATTATAGAACACTCTGTATATGAACATACCCCTATTCATTATCCTCTTTCTTCTATTTCACATATTTATTATATTATAATTTGAGAAGTTCTGTATAAAATTAATAAAATATATACCACAAAACAGAGCACAGACAGTTTGATGTTAATCTGTTGTGGAATAATCGGTATAGTGAAAATGATAATATTCTGCAGAAATGCTAATATTTTAATTAAAATTTACATATCTGCTGTGAACGATTATTTAACGATTGACAACGCAAAAGAAAGGGCCACTATGCGAAAACATCCTTATATAAGGAGGCTTGTTTTTTTCCTGTACTAATTAAGTTTTAGTTATATATATGTGTTTAATAATATGGTAAAATGTTTACTACACGCTTCAATGGTTTATGATGAAACAAATCAAAATATAACGAACAAGGACATTTTCTTGGAATATCCGATGCCTTCAAGACATATTATAGAGTACTTTCATGCAACAAGCATGTACAAAACTTTCATCGTTATCGAATCTATTATAGTGGCGCTATCGTGTAATTGTAATGTTGATAATATCTGTTAAAATCCTGAAAAAGTGTTTTTGTTGTTTTATATTTTTATGCATCTTTAGGCCTTAAATAAAATCTGTAAAAATTTTAAAGGCAAACCAATATTATTTTATATGTCACTAATTTTTTTTATTAATCTCATTATATAATAAGACATATTTTAAGCAATATTTTTTCTCCCTTTTTATTTGTTGTAGATAACTTTTATTTGTTATAGATAATTAAAACGCGGATGCTCGTATGATTTCACACAATAAGCTGTATTATTGAGATTTAGATGTACTAAAAGCTGACTATAGCTTTCTCGAAAATAGATATATAAAAAAATGTTTTAATAAGAAATTTGTAAAAGTTAAAAAAAGTTATGCACGTAAATAATGTCATTGCCTGCTTAAGAACTGTAAAATTTTACAAAATTTTGTTATCTGCATTATACTTAATATAATAAAATTATTTATTATTATTTTTATTATAATTTAAAATTGTATTGAAGTTGAATTTAACTTTCAAGGTACCAAAATTTAGCTTGAAGCATCTAGTTTTTTATGCGGTGTGGCGATTTTGAAAAATGTTAAATAATGATCTTGGATTTGTCAATTATATAAAAAATGGTATGTATTTTCTTATTCAAATTTTTACTATTTTCTTATAAATAAAGTACCAAAAATCATATTTAATTTGATCCACTAAACCCGAATCTGAAGACAGAAAAACAAAATTTCTATTTTTGCAAATAAATAATTAGTTATTGATATATACTGCTAAAAATAAAATTAATGTTATTATTTTTAAAAATGTTTTTTTCTCTTTTTACTACGACATTTCTGTGCTAGAATATTAACTAATTATCGTATTCTGCACAATTGCACATTTGGCAGTATTTTTAATATTTTATGAAAAAGCTTTTTGCAATTTTTTTCAAAATCGCTACACGGCATAAAAAACTAGATGCTTCAAGCTAAATTTTGGTACCTTGAAAATTAAATTTACTTCAATACAATTTGGGACGGGGGGAGGGTGACCGAATTGACATGGAATGACCCATATATATATATATGCATATTATTGTAAAGTAAATATATTGAAAAATTGTCATAATTAATTTATTATATTATAGCGGAGAGATAAAATTATCTAACAATATTATAACAATATGTCTCACCTATATTGCATTATATTTTCTCAGTATACCAACTGTGATGACCTGCAACATAAAGAAAAGAATGAGTTACTTGGTACTACTATGTATTTTCACTTTGGACAGATTGAAATCATACTATTTAATCAAATGGATATCGAGATGAAATAAAATGTAGTATAGATATGTATGTGATATGAATAAAAACGCACACACAATTTTTCATGCACGCAGTAAAAAGGAAAATAGTTACCCGATAGACGACAATTTAGAAACTGTCATATATAAATTCAACGACAATTTTGCGTAAGAATGTAGTTGGCATCTACATTTCGTAATGCTTCAAGAGTATAGAAGCAGACTGATAAGCATGTATATCTTACATATTGAATAAAAAATGAATCGAAATACCTGGGTTTTTTCGATACCATCATCGATTATTTGACTACAGCAGCATAAAGACAGACTGATAAGAAAATTTCTCTTATGTGCAATGTGTCCCCATAAATAAAAAATAAGTCAGAATACTAGTCGATATAGGGAAAGATCATCGCCCATTGGCATCAGTTATAGTCATTATCTCAACAATGGCAAATGAACGATGGAAGGACGATATCGCATACGCAATGACCCCTTTCAAATTGTTCACGTGGCCTATCGGAATGTGGCCACTTCAAGATTATAACATTTTTTCTGTATTACGTAGTGTCTTTGGCATTTGTTGTGCGGTACGTATTTTTTAGAACTCGATCAGTGACACAATCGCGAACATTCGAAGACAACATAGAACATTTTCTACATTACACCGGAGAAAACTTTGGTGTCATGATGAAAATGTCAATATTTTACCCAGATAGCCGCAGTAATTATTATGACATCATTTTGATGTCATAATAATTACTGTGGCTATCTGAGTATATTTTCAATTCTTGATAACGTATATGTAATAAAACGCTTTTGCCATTATTATTATTTATTATACTTATGCTTAATATAATAATATATATATAATAATATATTATTATAAATAGTATTATTTATATATACTCCCAAATAGCCACAGTAATTATTATGACATCAAAATGCATTATTTTGATGGCGAATGATGCATTTTGACATCAAAATGATGTCATAATAATTACTGTGGCTATCTGGGCTTATGCTTAATTATGTGTAAAAGTGATATAATCATTTTCGAAAAATATTATGGGAAATATGCTACACTATTTTATGATGTCATTATAACAATTGTATGTGTTACTCGCCCTTTTTCGCTGTCTCTCGCTCCTTCTCGCCTTCTCTCGTCCACTCTCGCTCACTCTTGGCGTCTATCGCTCTCTCACGCTCTCTCACCCTTTCTCTCACTCTCTTTCTTGCTCTCTCTTGCTCCCTCTCTCTCTCTCTCTCTCGTTCTCTCACGCTCTCTCCCCTACCCCTCTTTCTTTCCCTCCCCGTGTATTTGGAATAATAGTACAGTCACTTTCGGGTTTGACCTCGGAAAAATGTTAAAAAGCTGAATTTTGATACAGACCTTCAATTTTGCATAAGATTGGAGGGGAAAATAAAGAATAGCAAAATTACGTTTAATCCTTCTTTAAAAAGTTTTAATCAAATAATCGAAAAATTTCTGTAGATTATTATTTTTATTTGAATTAAAAATTTGTAGTTGTTGAGATCACATTAAATTAAGAAACAATATTACAACTAATAAATAGATAGTAAAAGTAGTATAACAAGAATATTCAAATAATTTGCCATTTTTTTTATGACAGAAGTTATGGTCTGCGAAAAAGGTTTCAAAGTGTTTAAGACCAATCAAAACAAAATGAGTAAAAATTTCTTAATTCTGATACATATTTTAAAGCATCTGCAATGTCTCCCTGATCGCAATCAGAATTTCAAGTTGGATGTTTCAAGCACATTATTTTTATTATAAAATTTTTTTATAAAGTAGATTCAAATGTAATTTCATGATTCTTTAATTTCGTCTTATTTTGACTTCATCAATTCACTTTCCAAAGATAGGTTGTGACTCCTGATATATCCTCTATATACATATTTCATTACTGATCATCATTTTTAAGGATGTTTCGCAGTCAAAGGGCTACAATACAAAAACAGCGCTAAGTATTTTTTGTACATTACATTTTTTTACTTTTATTTTTTAATTTAAATTTTTAAAAATAAAAACGTAGATATTTGAGAATCGCCAGACAAAATTTAAAAAAGTAACACTCTTCTCTCGACCGTACTGGCAAATATTATTTATTAAATCACAACGTTTCGACCCTTCTTTGAGTCCTTATCAAGTGATTTGTGAAAATAAAAATAGTCTCTCATAACTCGCTTAAGAGTCTTGACGTGTTGTCAAACCGACACTAGGTTCGTTTTTGACATCTTAAAATTATAATTTTATTTTTATTTTCACAAATCACTTGATAAGGACTCAAAGAAGGGTCGAAACGTTGTGATTTAATAAATAATATTTGCCAGTACGGTTGAGAGAAAAATATTATTTTTTAAATTTTAAATTTTTATTTTCTAACTTTAAATTTTTTAATTTTCTAAATTTAATTTTTGTGTCTTATATTACCTTTTTTGAATATACGTTTAAATATATTTGAATTAAATAATTATTTAGAGATAAATAATTTATTTTATTATATATATACGTATTTATCAAATTTTTATAAAAAATATATAATTTTACAATGTATATACATTCAAGTTTAAGTTAATTACATAATTATTCATGTTATACAAATTTAAAGAGAAATAAATAAATATATATATTTTAGTAATATACGAGTGAATATTAATTTATGTTAATTATATTTTAGTAAATTTATTTTGTTATTATATATATATAATATATATATATTTTATATATATATATTATATAATAATATATATATATATATATATATATATATATATCAAATATATTTAAATATAAAGCAATAATTAATACATTTGTATTATTATGGAAAATTCATCTAAATATTATATATTATATTATCATTTACTTAGTACAACTTTTTGATTTCACTACTTTTTGATGCTAATATTTTAAGCTTTTTTTCTCGTATTATTAATATAATTATTTAACGCAATTTTTTTATTTCACTACTTTTTGATGTTAATATTTTTATTTTTTCTAGTATTATTAATAAAAATAAAATATAATTTATAAACATAATTTTTGAGAAAATATTTTGGATGGTGATTATTTTTTGCAAAGAATTATTTTGGTTATAAACATAATTTTTGAGAAAATAATATTTTTGATTATTGTAAAAAACTATTTTTGCTGGCGAAAGATATAACTTAGCGCTTTTTTTATATCAACAGAGCCTACTCGTGATCTTGCCCTCCATGGAAATATATCTGGGCTGTACTGACGTAGAACAGAACATAGACTGTCTGATGATACTTTGTTGCTCGGTGCTCGGTGTGTTGAAGACGACACGGTTCTGCATATATCCAAATAGTTTAATTAACAATTACAAATCTGCTGTGAACGATTATCTAACAATTGTCAACACAAAAGAGCGTGACATTATGCGAAAACATGCTTTTATAGGAAGATATATTTGCTGTTCTATGGTGTGCGTTTCTTACTTTAGCTGTATGATATATGTAATAATTCCTTTGATGAATTATGGCCAAGGTAATCAGAATGTAACAGACGAAGATGCGATATTGATGTATCCTTTTCCATCAAGATGTGCTCTGGAATATTTAAATTTTCCAAAGAGCATATATATAATCACCATACTCGCCGAAGAAGTAATAATGCTAGTGGGGGCTACCACTAATCAAGGTAATATTTACCTATTTTTTTAGATTTACTTTATGTCTTATTCGCATCATTCAAAAACAAGACATCTTTTACTTAAAAGTATATTTATTTAAATATACATATTATTCAACATATATATAGTTTTTTATTAATTAATTATATTAATATTAGCAACTTCTTTATTAATTATAAACAATACACATATTGCACGGCGCAAAAGTTTCTAAGGTTTCACGATAATTTGATCTATCTGCGATAGAAAGATCGCCTAGTTCTTTTTATCGCAGGTATATTAGATTATTAGATTAACGTCAAAGCTATTTTCTATTAAAAAACGCAAATATATTATAAAAGCAAATATATTATAAATGACGATCTCAACATGTCTCATTATTGCTACTTTTAAAAAAATATTTAAAAATTTGGAAACTTTAGTGCCTTATACAGTGTGTATTATGGTAAATAGGTATATATTACACACATATTTGCTATCTTTTATAATTATATTTTGACTATATTTTTTATTATAAAAATAATAATTTAATGACAATAGTATAATAAATATCATTTTATATATCAATGCAATAAAGTGGTTCCGTGCATCAATGCATTTTCCAAAGGTAACAACGCGTTGTTTCTCAACATTACATTGCATGTTTGTGGTCAAGTAAATATTCTGAGAATCAATTTCACCAACTTTGATGTTACAAGTCCACGGATTTACGAGCGTTTTAATGCGCTAATTCAAAGACATCAATACCTGATAAGGCTAGCCAGAGAACTAGCTGATTTGATTAGTTTCATATTATTGATAGAATTATTTATTATCAGCATATTATTGTGTATAATGGGTGAATATTATATCTTATGATTGTTTGACGAAATATCTAAATTACATATTTATAAAATAGGATTTACATTTAGCAAACAAATATTTTTTTCAGGATTTCAGTTCACCCTCGCGTTGAAAGTCAATGACACCTTTATGGTCGGAAAGAGTTTAATGGTACTGAGTGCCTTCCTGACACAACTAACGCTATATAGTGCAATTGGAAATTATCTGAGATCAGAAATGGAAGAAATAGGGCTCTCTATTTATCAAAGTACTTGGTATAGTTATCCTAAAGAAATAACAAAAAACGTAATCTATATTCTTATGCAGACAAAATCTCCAACTGCATTGGAGGCTGGGAATTTTGTCATAGTTAATTTATCAACTTATATGAGTATTTTAAAAACCTCATTTTCTTATTTGTCTGTACTTCGTATAATGATCGAAGTATAAAATGCAAATATAAGATGGAAATTAAAACAATTTAAATCAATTATAAATATTTGATACGTTTGAAATTGCACGATGTTCTTTTACAATTAAGAATGCATAAAGTTTATTAAGAGATCACATTATATATACGTCATATGCGTTAATAAACTTACTCTCTACAATAGTTTATTTGTGGTAAATTAATTCTTCTTACACATTAATTACACATATGCACTAAATTACTATTAATTCGTAATTGTATTGAATTTGAGAGTAAGTATTACTCACTTTTATGTCGCGTAATACTCTATTAGATAATTTTAATGACCTGTAAAATAAAAAATAGTTATTTGATACATATTTTTACTTTTGAACAAACAGAATTTATATTGTTTAGCCAGAGAAAATAGAGACAAGAGATATATAAAATATCGACGATACACATAGCGATAGAAAACCATGGACAGTTCTGTAAACATCTGTCATAATAAAAAGAATAATTCAACGGATGGCAACTTATTGTTAAAGAACTTTGTCACATAAATTTTTATTCAGCAACACAATATTGCGTAAAAGCATAATTCTCTATATTTTGTCGTAATCACATAAATTTTTATTCAGCAACACAATATTGCATAAAAGCATAATTCTCTATATTTTGTCGTAATGCGTTAAGAGTATAAGGACAGGCTGATAAGCGGATATACGTCGCCAGCTGAATAAAAAATGAGTCGGAATACTTTCGTTTTATCGAGCCTATCTTGGTTATTGGCATCAGTTACAGTCATTACCTCGACTCGATGGCAAGCGAACAATGGAAGAACGATATCGCATACGCGATGACCCCTTTCAAATTATTAACGTGGCCTATCGGCGTCTGGCCGCTTCAAGTTTATAACATCTATTCGCTAATACGATGTATTTTAGCCACTTGTTGCATGGTACACATATTTCGAGTGATCTAATTTTGGTAGAATGCTCAAATTTGAGGGTATAGATAGGAACAACTTTTACGTTGATCATTAATTATAATATTTTAAATAAAATTTTGCTTTCACGAGAAGAACATTAAATGTTCAAATTTTTGAATGAAGAACATCTTAATATTTACCACGTTTTTTTCACGAAGATAACAATCCATTGAACAGATAATTGTTAACAGATAAATGCATAGTCATAAAAGTTAGTTGGATTTGTTTGACAGAAATATTTCTGAATATATTCTTTGAAGACATTGCTAATTTGTGACATCGTTTACTTCAAATTGGTTTTTCATTTGTAATTAATATTGTAATAGTATGAAATATATGTTATAATAATATGATTCTTAGAAATATGTATAAAAAGAATTTGTTCTTTATACATATTTCTATATGTGAAAAAATACTATATATGAAAGAAATATGAGTGAAAAATACAAAATGACATACAAATTTTTATTACTGTCATTTTCTTAAAATATCAATTTCTTAATATTTAATTGTTAAAATTTATTTTTTAAATCTTTAATGTAATTTTATATTTTAACATAGAAGAATTTAGGATGTCTATAATTTTTATTTTTTATTATATTTATAACAATTTTATCTTTTTATATATATGTATATTAAATATTTAAATTATTTAAAATTGAAACTTTATATATGTGTACGTATGTATGTATAATTATTTCGTCAGAGAGTCTAACTATATAATTCTAATATCTTCTACATTATAATAAATAGCTAACATAGAGAGACATCACCAAATGTTTAAAAACATTATTTACTTATAATTCAATTATTAAAATTTGAAAAAGTCCAGTGATCTGGAATTGGGGCATATTTTTTAGACACAGAAAGACTATGTGAACGAAAAAATATATTGTTTACGCATATCAACAGAGCACAATAGTGATATTACCTATCATGGAACTTCACATGGGCTGCACCGATGCGGAACAGAACGTTGATAGCTTTATGTTGGTCTTCTGCGGTATACTAGGAGTGCTGAAGATAATATGTTTTCGTATTTATGCGAAAAATTTAACTAATAATTACGGCTCAGCTCAAAATGATTATTTGACAATTAAAAACGTAGAGCACCGTGCCATAATGCGAAGACACGCCTTTCTTGGAAGAATTCTCTCCTGTTTTATGGTTTGCTTCTCTTATTTTAGCGTGATAATATATTCGCTAATTCCTCTTCTGGGTGATGATGAAGATAACCGGATAAATATGACGAACGAGAACGTTATTCTGGAATATCCAATGCCATCAAGATGCGCGTTAGAATATTTAGGTTTCCCGGAGAGCATGTATCAAGTTATCTGTCTCTTCGAATTTATCGCGTTAATACTAACGTGTACTTGTAATCTTGGTAATATCTATTTATTGCTTTATATGTGTTTTCTTGCATTCTTCATTATACATAACAACACTTTGAAAATATCAGAATTTTTATGACACATTAAATAATAATTTCCATCAAATACTTAATAATATCACTTTTTATTAATTTTTTAATGAAATCTATTTGTTTACTTCAATTTGTAAATTTATTTATAGTCAAATATTATAAAGTATACAATAAAATATATAATATAAAGATAAAACTATATTTATAAAAGAATATATAAAAGATATGAGATTAGAGACATATATATATAAAATAAGATAAAATATATTCTCTCTTATGGTAAGTTTTGTAAATATAAAAATTAAATCTACTATAAATATCAAAATCTAAATACACAAAAACCCTATACATAACTAATATTAAAACATACCTATTACTTAAAAAACTAATATAAAAATTATATGAGACTAAATATTATACTCTTTTTATTACAGTTGTGCGACAATAATAGTCTGCATCATTCTCAATACATTTCTTTTTTTTTGAAGGTAATGATTCTTTGTACCTCAATATTACATTACACGTTTGTGGTCAAGTACAAATTCTGAAAGCCAGTTTTATCGACTTTGATGTTTCAAGTTCGCAAGTTTGCGACCGTTTGAACGCTTTAATTCGAAGGAATAGCTATATAATAGAAATGGCTAAGGAACTGGCCAATGCAATCAGTTTCGTTTTGTTGATGCAATTAATTCTTAGTAGCATGCAATTATGTATAATGGGTGAATATTATAAAACACTTTTAATTGATTTATAAAATATAAATTACATCACAAATAGAAAGAGAGAGAGAGAGAGAAAGATATATTTACATATATTAAACATTTATTTAACTTATTGTTAAACATAAATACTTTTTTTCAGGATTTCAATTTATATTAGCATTAAAAATGAACGATGTTGTTATGATGGGGAAAAGCTTTGTGGTATTGTGTACTTTTTTGACACAAATAACAGTGTACAGTTTCGTCGGAGATTACCTGAAATCCCAAATGGAAGATATTGGACTTTTTATTTATCAAAGCATTTGGTATAATCTTCCTGTAAAATTGACAAAAAATTTAATCTTCATCATTATGCGGTCACAATCTCCCGTCAAGCTGCAAGCTGGAAATTTTATCGTGGTAAACCTAGCAACTTATATGAGCATCTTAAAAACCTCCATTTCGTATTTATCCGTACTCCGCGTAATGGTAGAAGAATGAAATATAAAATAACTCTTACAATAAATTTTACAAATTAAAAATGAACATTTCGAAACTGCTTTAAAAAATATAGAAATTTGTAGAAGCAATTTATTAGAATTTTTTGTGATTTTAATAAATGACTTTAATAAAACAGCTAATGCTAATCACACAATTTGAACATACACTTGTGCTAAATCAACAATTTCTTTTCATATAATATAAAAACCTTACGCATTCTTGAAAAAAATATGCTACCTTTAATGCAATCGTATAAAAATGTGTAAATCTGTATCATCCTTTTCAGAAGAAACGTTTTATTTTTATTTAGTGCATTAAATATAAACATGTAAACATATAAAATAAACATGTTTACTCTCTTATTTTGTCATAATAACAATTTATTTTTATCATTTTTTGAAACTATAGTTAGATTACGATGATTGTAATATATTATTGTGCTTCATTACAATCAAAATATATCAATAATTAAATTTTATAACAACTTTGATGATACGTAACATCGACATCTCACTTATTGTTAGTTTAACACCCAGTAAAGTCCAAAAACTTATCACAACTAAATGCATTGAAAATCTCACTCATCGAATATAAGCAAATATTTCGACTTTACTTGTTAATCATGTTGAGACAACTTTTAGATCTGTATACAATTCACAATATTTTCACTACTGCACTGCGATGCACATTCGTCATCATACTGCTTACGCGATCTTTTTTCTACTGCAACGCGTCACTACGCTCCCGGCTACGGAACAGTGGAAAGTAATTCAACAGTGTATAGACATCTAATACATTATCCCTATTTCACATGTTTATCCTATTATCATTTGAGAAGTTCTGCATAAAGCTAATAAAATATGAACCCAGTGGGAGCAAATGTATTTTAGCCATTAGAGTTGATTATCCATGATAGTGAAGACAATATTCATAAATTGAATGTAGAATTTGCAAGATCAAACTTTTACCCGTAAGATGATCAAGCTAAATAGTTTCGCGAATCGTCCGTTCAGTTCTTGCAAGTACCATAATGTCGCATGATCGTTGGAACGACGATATCGCATATGTTTTCTCTACTCATAGAACGTTTATGCAAATACTCGGTATGTGGCCGCTGCAGAAAAGAACGATATTCACGATGATGCGATGGAGTTTTGCGACATTTCTAAAGGTATGTAAAGCAGCAAGAAAAAAGAAATATATATATATATATATATATATATATATATCAAATAAATTTATGACGATATTTACATAATTTTTCAAGAGATTTAAAAAAATATATATATATAATATATATGTGTGTCTAAGAAAATTATAAAATATTTTTATATACAGATCTTGAGTTTTTATTGTTAGATGTGTATATACATATATATATATATATATATATATATATATATATACAATATATTTATCATCTGTAATCAAGTAAATAGATTCACAAGAGAAACACGATCTTATTGTTAATTTTGTGTTTTATTATGAAATATTAAGACATTAGAAAATATTCCACAAATACTTTTGATGTTTCTTTATACTCACTATATACGAGCAAACCGATTTTCTAAGGCAAAAAGATCATTATTAGTTGATGGCATTCAGCTTCTTATTTATGGACTTTACTGGGGATCATCATGATGCTAGTACAAGTATAGAAACTATATTATACTTCGTATGTATAATAATTTTGCTATTGAAAAATTTCTGTATTATGGCCAATAAAAAAAAGCTTGCTAAAAATATTGACGCTGCTATCAACGATTGGTTGTCCGCGAAGAATGATGAGGAATCTTATAAGATCATGAAGGAATATGCATTCAAGTCCAAAATATTCACGACGTTTATACTGTATTCAGGTTTCATATGCAGTTCAATTTATCTATTGGCAATCTTAATTATAGATGTGAAACAAATACTTTATTTAAGAAACCCGAATATATCAGGTAATATATAATATTTCTGTAACATTTATTAAATAATTATTATATATAAATAATAATAGTGGCTTTAAAGATAGTAACTCACAAGAATTATAATAATAATTATAAATATACAAATTTTCCCTCAATTATATCTCTGTAACATATCTATATAAAATATCTCATTTTAAAAAATGTAATATTATTTTTGTTAAATTTTCTAAACTTATATACTAGAAATAAATCTATTTCACATTATTATTATATATTATTTTATGCTACTATATTTAAATTCCGTTTTAAGCCATACTGAGAAATAATATCATATATTCCTACAAATCATTAACTGCTTGTCAATTTGAAAGATTTGAAAAATATTATTTAAAAAAATTTAGTATTATTTTCTTATTAATATTTTTATAATTTTTCATTGAACTTTTTGTATTTTTACTAAAAAATATTTATTTACTAAAAAAATTAGGTATTCAAAATTTTAGTATCTATGTATATAAAATTAAGACACAAAAGTTTAGTGGCACTTATTATATTATTATATTCATTATATTATCGTGATATATATGTGCTGATATATATATGTGCTATTATATTATTTTATATTTTTTAATGCATTTTATTCTTTATTCTAATTTATAAAATAGTTATATATTAAATTATATTATTTGATTTTACATTAAATTTTTCAGTTATTTAAAATTGTTTATAATTATTTAGTTATTTAAAATTTATTATTTTTACCGCGTGCAGATAACATTACAATGGAATGGATATTGTTAATCCCATCTGGTGATTTGAGTGAAAAAATCACCGGCTCACAATACTTGATGATTATCGTGCTTCAAGTTCTTCAATTACTCACATTATCTGTAATGCAATGTACTACTGATAGTTTTTATATGAACAATACGCTACATCTCACTGGCCAGCTGAAAATTCTTAAAGCAAAATTCAAAACTTTTGCAAGCAAACCGGATACAGTGGAAAATAATCGGAAACATTTATCCAGATTGGTCGATAGGCATTGCGAATTAGCGAAATTCAGTCGAAACATAGAAGATACGTTTCATCTAATTATACTTTTCCAACTCGTCGTAGCAACACTTCTAATCGCATTGATTGGTACTGTATAGTAAACTTTGTATCAAATATATTGCATGACTTATTAATTTTTAAAAATTTACATCTTTAAGCGATGGCATCTAATGATTACATTGCATATTAATCTTCACGTTTTTATACTTTATATTTTTAAATAATATATTCTATAATATTTAAAAAATTATACATAAATATAAAATAATATTCTTTACTTTAAAATAATATTTTCATATTTCAGGATTGCGAATAATATTCTGTTTGAAAAATAATAATTACATCGAAGTAGCAAAAAGTGTTTTAGTGTTAAATTTCATGCTTATGGAATCGCTAGTATACTGCTACGGTGGTGATTTTATACAGAAAGGAAGCGATGATTTATTCCGTGCAATGTTCAAGACTTCCTGGTTCACGCTTCCTGCCACGTTGATGAAGGACCTACACTTTGTGATGATGAGATCAGTCTATCCGTTTCGTCTCACCGGCGGAAAATTTTTTTACGTTAACCGCGAGACGATGATGTATGTTTTCAAAACAGCGGCTTCATATGTCTCGGTTTTACGAGTGGCACTCAGAGATTAATATAAGTCAATGACAATTTGCAGATATGTCATATATAAAACTTATTAATACTATAATCTAAAATATGTGCAAAAATATTAAAATATTTTTAAAAGTAACAACTTTATTTCTTTTACAATTATTAAGATATTTTGCAATCATTAATCGTTAAAAAACGAAATAAAAAATTTCTATTGCTACTTTAAAATAAATTCTTTATAGCATATTTACCTGCATTCGCATCGAGCATTTAATTCTCTCATTTCTTCCACAAGCAGCTTCTTCTATTTTGTCACTTTTTTGCAAACAAATATAACTTTACTTTTTCTACTTTGTTGACCGTTTGTTTTATTCGATAAAATGATAGAAAAAAGACGATAGAGAAAAGAATATTTTGCTTGTGAAGAAGAGTTGTTATATTTGATGTCATTACAATTCATAAATTGATCGTGCGAGCATCGTTTTGCTGACACAATAACATTACGTATGTAGAAAATTGTGTGAAGTATCAAATGTTCCAAAGAGATGCGCGACAGGTAAATTTGTCATGTCACTTATCTTACCACCCTAAAGACCGGTCAGGGTGCGGAAAGAATACGTGCGTGCAGACGCGCGATAGCAATTTTTCTCAAGGGACAAAAGTAAGCCATCGACCCGGCCGAATAATATTCACCACAACTACAATTTTCGTTTCTCGAGATCGAAACTAGCAATCGTCAAACATGAAGACAAATTGGAACAATGGTATAGATTATGGTTTTTCTACTGTAAGATCGATGATGTGGATACTTGGTCTGTGGCCTTTGCAGAATGGTGTTATTTACACTATACAGTGGCTTGTAATATTCGTGATAGTGGTAAGATTACGTAACGTAACGTAAAATAATATAACATACAACATACAAGTTAACTGCCACTTTAAAAGGGTAAGACAAAAAACATTATTTTACGCAAAACTTTCTTAATAAAAATCAACAGAGCAAAATTGTAACAATCTGTTTCAATGTTTTTCAACCTACTTAAGAATTATAAGCATTTATGTAAATAATATTATATATAATATTATATATATAATATTATAAGTAATATATATATTATAATATTATATATATATTATATATATAATATTATAAGTAATATTATATATTATAATATTATATATAAATAATATTAAATATTATATATAAACAATATAAATATTTACATAAATATAAAGATTATTAAAACATTGAATTTTATCTATACTTAAAATAAAATTTCGTATAGCTTATGCTTATGCATACATATATAAACATTTTTATACAAATTGTATAATGAAAAAGATTATATATACATTTATACATTATATATTATATATAAAATTTATATATAATATATTTATATAAAACAGTTTTTGTATATAATTGAAAGTTTTGCTATTTTCGAAGCAATGCAGTTTTATATTTGCTCTCCTATAGTCTCTCACGTTGATAAATACGCTGATAGAAGCTTTCATAAGCTGCGACGCTCCCAGAGACGGTTTGGAAACTCTTCGTCTAACAGAAAGTTGCATTCATGCATGGTTAAATATTATTTTTCCGCGAATTTACATGAAAAAACTCGCTGTTAATATCAATTCTGCGGTCGATGATTGGTTGCCTTCAACAAAAAAAGAATTGCGTGTGATAATGATGGGATATGCACGTGCAGGACGACTAGTCGCCCTGACTCAACTCATCTTTGGATGTCTGGGAGGCACTTTATGGTTTACATCCGTCTTCCTTGTTAATAAAGATAAGGTTTATTGCCTCAAGTTATTATTAAATTATAACTGAATAAAGTCATTCATCGAAAAATCTTTCGCTGTAATAAAATAAATATTTTATCTCTCTCAAAAAAATTATATATAGAATATGTGTGTTACATTTCTGTACGTATATTTTATTCCGATAGGTCGCAACTATAGAAAATAACACCGCGTGGAATTTTGTCATTCCGTCAACGTGTATATACAACGGGATTTCATATTCCACGTACAAGGCAATCTTTGTTATGCAAATAATACAAGGATTTCTAGTATTAATATCTGAATGCGCATGTGACAGCTTTTTTTTCAGCATCACTATGCATCTCTGCGGTCAAGTGGAGCTTCTAAGAGTACAGTTTATAGAAGTCTTTCGAAAACGCGACGGTGAAAAACATTGTGAGAACATTTTCGGACCAGTAGTCAGAAGACATTGTCAGCTGATAGAATTGAACAGAAATATTGAAGACGCTTTCAATATCAATATTTTGTTACGTCTTTTAATAATTAGCGTAGTTATTGCAGTTTCAGGTATATATCCAACACAGTTATTTTAACAAATTTGTTAAAATCAGTCATTGCTGGTTCATTTAAGATCTTGAAATGTCGTTTTATGAATCGTGCAAGCACGAAATTATATTATACATATATTTCATGACACAAGATCTTGTATAAGAACAATAAAATTTTTTAAAAAATTTGCAGCATACACATTTATAATTAAATTAAATTTTTCACTATAATTAATTTAAAACTTATAAATATAAAAATTCAAAAATATATATAAATATATTTCGTTTTTTTTTTAACAATTTACAAATGTAAATATCAACAAGCTAGAAAAAGGCCAGACACAGATAGTAATGTATCAGTTTCAAGGAAAATTAATTTTTCATTCAAATTGATTAATTGGTGCACACATTTTTCTTGGTGCAATACAAAGTAATTAAAATAAATTTCTATGCGAGATTTTTATTTTACTAAATCTCTTTGACTCTTCTAAAGAAGCAATCGAGAAAAATATCGGGACAAAGTTGCTGAATCATTTTTTTAGAAGATCTCTCTCTCTCTCTCTCTCTCTCTTTCTCTCTCAAGAAAAGAAAGTTTATTAAAATAAAAATCTCAAATTAATTTTTATTTTAATTACTTAATATAAAGAATTTTTATTTTAACTATTTAGTATTAAAAAAATTGTGTGTTCTATGTAGAACTAATCAGTTCAATGAAAAATTAATTTTCTTTGATATACTGATCTACTATTATTCGCGTCTGATTCTTTCTAGTCCATTAAAATTTAAATTTATAATAATACTTCTTTTTAAGCTTTATATAACTCTTATTCTATTCATGTTTTACTAATAATAATTTTTATTTTCTTTTTCTAAATATATTCATAATTTTTAAATTTATAGTGAAAAATTTAATTTGATTAGAAATGTATCTGCGAATCTTTTTTTTGATTTTTGTCGTTCTTATATAAAATTATTATATTCTTATATAAAATTATTATATTCTTATATAAAATTATTATATATACACATATATACATATATATACATAATAATGTATCTAATATTGATTTTTATGATTATTAATTTTTAGGAGTAGGAATTATCCTGTCAATTAATCGTCACGATTACAAAGAATTGATAAAAATGGTGACGTCTATTAATTTTTTTATAATACAGGCCTTTTTATATACGTATGCCGGCGATATTTTGCAGAATCAAAGCGAGTCGATTTTTTATGCCATATATAACTCTACATGGCACGAAATGTCACCCACCATGGTGAAGGATTTGATATTCATTATGATGAAAATGAAAATCCCTTTTCGGATCAGTGCTGGAAAATTTTTCTATCTCGCGCGAACCACTATGACGGATATCTTAAAAACCACTTTAACATATATATCATTCTTACAATTTACAGTTAATAATTAAAAAAATTGTTGCGCGTTATTTATATGTATGTAGATGTAAAAAGCGATAAATGTAGATAGACAAAACAAAATATAAGTATATTTCAATATATTATCTAGCATTTTTAGTCAACATTTTATATTTATATATCTTTTTAAATAAAATTAGATCTGCAGTAATTTATATAACTATAAAAATTGCGAAGGAGATATTTATATATTCTTAATTCAAAAATCGATATACTAAATTAAATTTAGAACTAGAACGTACTTTATCATAAAATTTATAACAAAGTATACGATTTCAAAAAAAGTTACTGCGGCGAGTCAACTGCAACTGAAAACAAAAGAAAAGTAAAACTCTCTCTTTTTTTTCATTCTTTATCTTTTTCATAAAAAAAAAACTCTTTCTATATCAATTGTTTTAAACAACTGTACTTGGAAAAATAATATAGCATTTTGATAGCATGTTGATAAGTATATCAAAATTGCACAATTTCAATAAAATATGAACCGTGAATGCTACTTTCACCGTGCAATGATCGATCCGTGTATTATGAACAAGGATTAGTATTAGCTAGCGACTACCGCACAACGGTCTCAACGCAATTGCAACCATGAAATGGAAAAATGAAGTGTCGTATGCTATGACCCCTCTCAAAATCTTAACTGTGCCTATAGGTGGTTGGCCTCTGCAAGAATACAATAAGTTTGCTTTAGCGCGACATATCTTGTCTGCTTGCGGCTTGGTATGTTCTTTAATTTTATATTTTTGACAAAAGTGTCATACTAGGGCTTTTTTCTGTTTTCGATACACCAAAAAAAATTTGTTAATTTGATTAAACCTTTCAACTATATATATAAATATTTTGTTAATTGAACAATAAAAATATTTAAATTACATATAATAAAACGTATATTTGACTTAAATACTAATAAATATTCAATTAACAAAATAGTAAATTAGTTGAAAGATTTAGTCAAGTTAACAATTTTTTTCAGTGTATGTGTGAAAAATAAGCGTATGTGAATTTGCCGAGATCAAAGATGAATGTTTAAAATAATATGAATATAATGAATAGTGTAGATATAAATAATATAAAACAAGTTTACAATAAATATATATATATATATATATATATATCGATTTTTACTTTCTATGCAGAGCGTGGTAGTGATCGTACAAGCTCTCGAGCTCTACTACAATTGTATCGGCGCGTACGCGAATCTCGACGCTTTGACACTTTTGGCATGCGGGATTCTCGCTTTATTAAAAATAATATGGTTTCGCATATACGCCGATAATCTGATTTGCAATTACTCTTCTGCCATGAACGATTATCTCGCACTTGACACCGAGGAAAAGCGCATTATCATGCGAAAGCACGCTTCTTGGGGAAGGATAATCTCGATTATTGCTTTGTTAATTACTTATATCGATTCACTCATCTTCATCGTGGGACATGTACCAGTAAGCAGTGAGGGGGGTAAAGTTAATATTACCATTTTAGGCCATCAGGCGGGATATGCTATCCCATCGACATGTACTTTGGCGCACTTTCACATCTCGATGAGCACGTATTTGATGATTTTCGTATTAGAATATATCTATTTGATGATCATGTGCACCAGTAATCATGGTAAGTCATTGATAGTAATATAATATAATATTATATATATGACATAAATTATAAAATATTAATTTATTTTAGATATTATTTCAGATATTTTTTGAAATATTTATCAGGGGGGCTGTATCGTCTCGTAATCATTTATCTAAATTGTGCATTTCTGTTTTGACTGTATTACTTTGTTCAAATATGAAGTAAGCATTTTACGTTGAGTTAAATAAAATATCTGGAGAGAGTTGAATAAAAAAATATTAAATTAATTTTTTAAATCCGTGAGATATATATTTTAAATTTAATATGAATTATCCTTCGATATATTTCTAAATATTCAATAGCATTAATAAATATGTAAGTTATTATTAATCATAATTTTTTAAGGTAGCGATTCTCTGTTCCTTCATATTACATTGCACGTTTGCGGCCAACTGCAGATTTTAAGAACTAGTTTCATTAATTTTGATGTTACCAGCCCGGATGTTTACAAACGTTTCAATGCATTAATTTTGAGACATGATCATTTGATCAAAATGGCTAGAAAACTCGCTGAGATAGTCAGTTTTGTTTTAGTCGTACAACTATTTATCAGCAGTATGCTTATATGCATAGTAGGTGAATATGCTCTCACAAATCTTACACAAATTGTACATTCATGCATCCGTAAAAAATTATGAGATGCTAGAAAAATTTATATTAAACAAATATATGTATGTATATGTATATACATACATATATATACATACATATCTTTACAGGATTTCAATTTATTGTTGCAATGGCAACTAGCGACTTTAGTATGATGTCAAAAAGTTTTATGGTACTTAGTGCTTTTTTGGCACAATTAACGGTATATAGTATTGTCGGTGATTATTTAAAAACACAGATGGAAGAAGTCGCGCAGTCTGTTTATCAATGCGCTTGGTACAATCTTCCTACAAAAGTGGCAAGAAACATAGTGTTTATCATGATGTGGAATCAACTTCCCATTAAATTACAAGCTGGTAATTTTATTGTGGTGGACCTTGGAACCTACATGAGCATCCTAAAAACTTCTGCTTCATATTTGTCTGTTTTACGTGTAATGATTGAAACATAAAACATGATATGGAAAATATTTCATCAGTTAGATATTTAGAGAAACAATATTATAGAAACTTTAATAAAATTGCTAATTGCATAATCCATATATATTGAGCTTATGCCACACAAATCAAGAATCACTAATATCCCTTTCTAAAAAAGGCAAAGTTGTAAAAAGTAGTCAATTGTAAAATATAAAATATAAATATAATATCAATAATGCGCGCAAAACGCGCGCTTGTGTTATCTGGTACATAACAAAAATTCTAAAATTAAAATTATATACATAATTAAAATTCGGCAAATTAAAATTATGTACGTAATAGAAATTCGCGAATTAAAATTAAAACATACATTTCATAAAATATAAAAATAAAATTGAACTATTTAACATAATATATTGAAGCATCGTTTATATCTGAATTATTATTCGATCTGCGCTTTATATATCTCTTCTAGACCTCATCTTTATACAGAATTGTTAATATCTTTAGTAAAATTGATTTATAAAATAAAAATTAAATTAATATGTAAAACTGCCTAAAATAATTAACATGTAAAAAAATAATTATTATATATGCATTGAATTTTTTACGATGCGTACGCAATAATAAACACAAACAAATATATATTTAATTTTATTATACAATATATATTTAATATATACATTTATTAATAAATTTTTATTTAATGTAATTAATAAAAATAAATACCTAAAAATTTAATTCTATTCCGGCATTCGGATACCATTTCTTTTGCAGCTTTTAAATTTTTGAGTCCTTTTATTGCTACGTATTGTTAGGTTTTTTTGATCTGTAACATAGAAAAATTAATTATTCTCAAACTTTTTAACGCTTTTTTTTGTTCGCGATGCGCGGCGACACGACGTCCGGATTATAACCGGAGATGAGTAATGTGTACGATAATATTGAAATACCATTGACAATATAAGAATTGTTGTCATAATCAATTTACGATTTTCACAAAAATATTACGAACCTTACGATAATGAGAAGATACGATTGAAAACGCATTAGAATACGATCGAGAACGTCGAAAAACTCCGGAAATTTTCGCGATCCGTCCTTGTAAATTTGCGCGCGCAAACTTTTGGAGGTTCGAGTCGGAGCTGTGACGTCATGGTGTTTTTGGAGGGAAACGTCCGAAGATTCGCAGTCCACGAGATGATCAATTTCGCGCTTCCGATCGTGATTACGATGTCAGATCACAAATATACATGTGATGCGATTCGATTTTATATGATAATTAACGATGTGAAAACGCCAATTAATATTCATGCTCGTAATTTTTTTCAACTTTCGGCGACTCGAATTGAAGTTAATGTCGTGCGGTTTGGAAGGACGAATATTGAGCAAGATTTGCGGCGGACGAAATCAATCTAGCGCAATCACGATATCGATACATGCAACGCGATCAGATTTGTGTGATAATTAAAGACGTAAAGACATTAATTCTCACGCTTGTATTTTTGGCGTATCGGCGATGAAGAGCGCGCGAACGTGGTCATAAACGATAAGAAATGAAGAAGTACATCAGAGGGCAGCAACATTCTAGATTGTGTTCGGAAATATATCGCCTAGAGTGAAGCGCGCGATTGACCAATTATGAGAGCCTCGCTTCGATTGGTCAAAGCGCGAAATTTGACCAATCAATAAAATGGTTCTCGAAAAATAATAAAAAAGTATGAAAAGAACACTTGACATATTTTGTGACATCATGGATTTATTGAATTATGTATATAATATTGATTTTATCGACAATTAAAATAAATATTGGTGTAATTCTAGACAGTTTAACATGGATGTAGATAACGGAGTTCCGATATTATTGCCAGTACTGAAAATGTATAGTGTACATAACGTAAACGTCGTAAACTATAGTATTTCAGTACTGGCAGTAAATATCAGAACACACTTGAATACAACCATGCTTTTGTGTCCATACATATGATTGTTTACATATTTGTTTTTATTTTATTACGACAGTGATTTGTTATAACTCTTGTAAAAATGATGATATTTTATATTACCGTACGTATATTTGTTAATTGCAAATTTTTACATCTAATAAAAATTATTAATTTAATTTTACCCAACTATATTTGTTAGATAACGAGCACGTGAGTTCTGGCAGACATTTCAAAACGGAAATTTGCATATATCAACAGATAATTTTTACAAGTTCGAATAAATTTGCAAATGTTGAAATGGCACAACGATTAAGCAACAAGGCAAAACTTAAATCGTTATTTACTGTGACAAGCAGTGCTGTTTCTCTATTTGCAGGAATCTCGCTCTATCAAAACAATGAAAAATTTTATAGCGAAGTTATCATACCTCTAGCTCAATTGTTAGATCCAGAAACTGCCCATAATCTTGCGGTGAAATCTCTGAAATGGGGTCTTGTATCGAAGCAGAAAACAGAAGATTCCAGTTTACTTCAAACTACCATGTTGGGTTTAAAGTTCAAAAATCCAATTGGCATGGCTGCAGGATTTGATAAACAAGGAGAGGCAGTAGAAGGATTGCACAAAATTGGTTTTAGTTTTGTGGAAATAGGTAAAATCTGTACCTAGAATTGTATGCAATTTTCAAATATTTAACATATTTTCAGATGTGTAAGAAAATAATTATATTATAATTTACAGGATCTGTAACACCTGAACCGCAACCTGGTAATCCAAAACCCAGAGTGTTCAGACTACCGGAAGATTACGCAATTGTAAATAGATATGGATTTAACAGTGATGGTCATGGTGCTGTATGGGAACATCTCAAGAAACTGAAAGAGAAGAAAAACTTTAATGGTATTCTTGGAGTAAATTTAGGGAAAAACAAAGAGACAAAAGACCCAGTTCAAGATTACATTGACGGCATAAAAAAGTTCATGGATGTAGCGGATTATTTTGTGATTAATATATCTAGTCCTAATACTCCAGGTTTAAGATCTTTACAAAATAAGAAAAATTTAGAAGAATTACTGACTAGAATAAACTCAGCAAGAGAATTGCTTAATAGCAAACAACCATTACTTTTAAAGCTTGCACCAGATTTGTCAGATTCTGAGCGACAAGATATAGCAGATGTCATTTTAAAGAAAAGATCTAAAGTTGACGGTTTAGTTTTGTGCAATACAACAATCACGCGACCAAATTTGAGTAATTTGAATAAGGTAGAAAGTGGAGGTCTCAGCGGTGCACCTCTTGCTGATATTTCTACAGCTATCATTTCTGATATGTATCAACGAACACATGGTAGTATTCCAATTATCGGTGTAGGTGGTATCTTTTCTGGTGCTGATGCTTATGTTAAAATAAGAGCTGGTGCTTCGTTAGTACAACTTTATACTTCGTATGTATATTACGGACCACCAGTAGTAGGCAAAATTAAACGAGAATTATGTGAAATACTTAAAAGTAATGGTTTTTCTTCTGTAACTGATGCAATTGGCAAAGATACCAAGAGTAGATAAATATATTTATTGTAAATAAAATACTTTTATATTACACAAATAATATTAGGTACATCTTACAATATATATATATATATATAACTTTTATATATAATATAAAAAGTATATATTATGTAGAAAAAAATTGTTATGCAATGATTATATTGTAATTATGTAATTAATAAGAATTAATCACATGTGTATTAAAGCCAATTAAAATTTTATTACAATTTACGACTTTTAATGCAAAAATTTTTTATTTTATTCTATTGAATTAAATCTATTATATTAACTTGTTAATATGAAATACTCCACAATCATCATTATTAATTATTTATTACTTATTATTAATTATTTATTACTTATTATTTTTTTATATATAATTTTTTTAATTAATAAAAATTAATTAGTTGAAACTATTATAACATTTTCACATTATAAATGCTGTCGTAGAACGTGCAAAAAGTAACAAATATGCTATTTGCATATAATCCGAAGTCTAGATATCACTAATATAAAGTCTAGAACAAAGAATTTTTATTATGTTGAGACAATAAAAATTTAATAAATTAAAATTATGTACATAATAAAAAATCGAGAATTAAAATTATGTACTCCCTCATAATAAAATTATGTACATAATTGATATTCGGCGAATTAAAATTATGTACATTTGCTAATTATATATTATTTATTATTTACGCGTTGAAAACTCCCGCGCGTAGTAATACATGAAATCGGCCGATTCTGACGTCACGGCGTCACCAACTTCAGCCAGCGCCGCCATTAGTCAGTGCGAGTCCAACGGCGGAGGAGCAGAGTGTGCGTCGCGAATGCTCCGCGTCTCGTTCGGATTTCGTGCGCGAGTTAACGCGAATAAACGGGAGTGCAAGTCCGGGAGTGTCGTGTTTCGATGTGATAAACCGAATAATCTGCTCGAAGAGCATTCGGGTGTCGACGGAGACCCGGGAGTCTCGGAGGATCGCGAAGTGATGGGCGAGGGGAAGGGAGAAGGACGTTCCTCCACGGTTTTCGCGCATATTTCGGCGCTATTCGCTCGCCAGAGAGTCTTACGAGAATTTTGTATCGTCTCGAAGGGTATCCCGGCGTCGACGGGCGTCCAGGACTCGGAACATCGCGAATTCGCGGGAGCAAGCTAGTGGGGGAAAGGGGGCAGGGAAATTCAAATTCTGGAGACCGTTGCTTGAGAAATTGTGGTACCGAGACCATCCGCGTAACCGACTGTGGCGCGCAAGTGTTACTTCCCCGTAAGACTTAACTTCCTTCGCGATGCCACGGAATAACGCGGCGCGCCGGGAGATGTCGCCATAGACCTCAATGGGTGTCGCGAAACGACGTGGCGCGTCGAGGGATGTCACGCTAAACCTCTAGACATCACGAGTAAATTTAAGGGCATTTCGATGCGTTTAATGTGATTAATATTCGGACGCTCGCTTTACCGGAATCGAAAAAGTATATTTTTTCAACAGATGTTTTGTTCGTGTTTTTATTCGCGAATGCGATATCGAACGTGATCGAACGAAC